GTATCTCCATGTGAAGAGAACGTATCTCCTACTTGAGTCAGACACTGGGCTGTCGGTTTTGTTTTCTGACAGTGAAAAGCAATTAAAACTCTTGTCCCTTTTGAAGTTAGGTGGTGACTCTCTGGCTTCCTAGAAGCTCCCTCTAGACAGATTCCATGAACTATTTATTACGTGGAGAAAATGTGAYGGAGATTTGGATTTTTTTTATATGTGTTTGTATTAGAAACATCCCTTTTTATCTACAGACCCAATCCTCTGGAGAAAGAGGAGGAAAACCAGCCTTTCTGCTCGTCTAACATGCTTCTTAGAGTGATGACTTAGTGGTGCAATAGCCAGTGATCCCAGATAAAGATAAATGAGTTTCTGAGAGACCTGGTGAGCACGAGGCTGTGGACGAGAAGGGGAAGAGGCTATGGGGAGCAGAGGGGGAAGCCTGGCCACCAACACGGTGGTCACYGACAAGCTCCATGTTGGGGATGGGAACCCTGAAGGAGGGTCCTCATCAGGACCTGTGATGGATTGTGGATTATAAAGATGGGCAAAATTAATATGTGACAGCACAAACTATGTACAGTTTGGGCTAGTCACATCATTGCTTTTGCCAGTAGCTCTGGTAGTGTTCTGAAAATGCATCCCTGCCTCCTCAGTCAAGGTGTTTAGTTTTATTTTATCCCTTCTTTCCTGGGCTAAAGTCAGCAGAGATCTGCTACTCTACCATGGAACACTTTCCTGTCTGGGATGAGAAAAGGTGGTGCCTGTAATTCTCAGCTCCTGAGAGGGGGAGTAGGTGCTGCAGCTTTTTGCAAGTTTGAACAGAGAAAGCTAAGGAAAGGGAAAAGATGCAAAAAGAAGCCTGCAGCTGCTAGGGAGCAGGGACCTCCAAGGTCCCTTTCACTGACCAAGGGAAAAAAGGCTTATTTTGGGATCCCCATAGATTAAACTGCCAGGAAGGGGAAGAGAGGATACAACATAAAGTGAAATGGTAGTATTTTTGCATCTCAAAACTAGGAATGAAACAAAAAAAACCAAAGTGTGGGGGGGAAAAAAAGGAATGTTGTAGAAATAGATTAAAAAATCAGGACAAAATATTAGGGAGAATTAGAAGGATTCTAAGACTAGTAACACAAATAGGCTAAAGTTTAGTTATTAGGCTGGGTTTTATATTAAAATATCTCCACCTGCTAATCCAGGTAGTGAAGTATCCTCTGAGGCTTTTCTTTCGGCTTCTCTATTAAATCCAGAAGAAATCAAAATCACAAACTTACTAACAAATTTTCCTTATGCAAGTAAGATCACTGCTATTTCTGGTGAGATCACTGAAAGCAGGGGACAGAGGATGTCGCTTTTTCAAAGACGCTCGTTCACTGAGGTGGCCATTGCATTTGGATAAAATGTGAGGTGGCTGCCTTCTGCCTTTGATTTATTCTTTCTGTAAGACCTAGTAAAAGACCTGCAGTGTTTCTTCATCGTAAGAAAGCTTTTGGGGGGGGGCAAACCTGTACAGCATAAAATCTTGCATAAAATAAATATTAAACTGGGACATTGCAGCTGTCAGTGGTGTGTAATGAGATGGCAGTCCAGAATGAGAATCTACCTACCTTTATATGCAGTGTTGTTTAATACATGAAGCTCTCTCTTAAGAGATAGATGTGTCCATTAATTAAGGTCTCACATACAGTATAGTAGTAAGGAGGGAATATGATTAAAAGAAATGGAAAAGGAAAGAGCTTTATATACCACACTGCTAAGCCTTTATCATATGGAAATGATCAGAATTTAAAATTTTATCATCTGTCACAATTTGCTGCTGTAATTAAAATAACACCACGAATATATAGAGGGAGTCTGGCTAGATTTGCCTCGTTCTCTTAATGACTGTCAGATGCTAAGGCAAGGGGTACAAAGAGGCCAGGACTGAGGGAAGGTCCTGAGGGAGCTGGTGCCAGATGGTCAGGCTTACTTTATTAATTTAGTTCTCCATTATGGCTTCTCTTTTCTTCATTTCTTGAAAGGATGAGTTGTTATAATGGGAATCAGTTCACAGCTGCAGCGGGCCATGTTTAACTCTTGGGTCCCTGCACTGCTGCAAGGGACGTGTGTGGGTCACAGGGGCCGTCACCTGCCACCAGCCCCGTGAGGCCTCTGCTCACGCTCCCTATGCTTAAAACCCCTGGTCTTAAAGCCCTTCGTGCCATGGCTCTGAAAGACTTGGGCTGATTTTCCTTTCTTTTCTGCCTCGTGTACCAGAAATAGCCCAGGAGGTGCTGCCCAGGCCCCCAGCCTTGTGTGCAGCAGGTCACCCCGAGCGTGTTTTGAGCTCCTCACGTTCATCTACCTCCGTGTTAGCAGCGAGGGCCCGACTCTCCTGCCAGCTCTCAGCGCTCTGGGCATCCAGGGAGGGTAGRGAAGTCTGGGGAAACAGAATTTCAAAGAGGATTTTTTTCTCTCTCTCTAGTTGTAGCTTCTCAGCTCGGGTGCTCCCTTTCTTAAGCATCTGCTGCCGCCCGGCGGCTGCTGCTCTAACTGCTCGGCCCCTGTGACAATTTGTATACTGTTAGATTTAAATAATATTTAGATTTAGGAGGTTAGATGGCCAATAAAAAAAGCACCTTCTGCAAAAAATCTACATAGTGTAGAACAAACTTGTAGGGGAGGGTGTGTGTATTAAGAGCTTTAAAAAAATTTTTTTCCACCATTTGTATATCCTTTGTGCCTTATCAAGTGTTTTGCTTTATCAGCCATTCACTGRAGTAATATTACTGATTCTGTTCTCTGGTGTAATGAGAAAAAGATAGATTGTGAAGAATTTTTGGTTCCTGAAACCTCCCTGAAAAAAATCCTGTTGGTTAGTTCACTTTTTGAGTTTATTTAGAAAACTGTCCTGCATTTGTGATGTTCTTGCATCCTCCTAACCCACCTGGCCTAGCTGTGATAGAAACAGCAGAGCTGGCGCAAACAGCAAGCTGCATTTCTAGGTATCGTGAGTTTGGTAACACGTAGAGAAACCAAAGCAAATTCACCCCAAAAGCTATGGCTTTCACGAGATAAACAGGAACAGCAGCTCAGTTTATGTGTAAAATRTAGGATATAATCTTTTAGTGTAATAGAGGGTCTAAGATGCAAAATTTTAAAGATTAGTTTTTGAACAACTATATTTGCAAATTCCTTCAACTTGGGATTGTTAGGATATTTTTCAGGTTACGTGACTATTTTTTTGCAGTCTCATCTCCAGTGGCTCTGAGTGTAGAGAAAAATTGCCTTTTGTCAGCCCAAGGTTGAAAATAAAATCAATTTTGATGTCAGAGTAATTTATGCAGTTTTTTCTCTGGATAGAGAAGAGGTTGGGAGGCCTGGGAGCCAGCAGTGAGTGTGGGGGTTCTGCGAGAAGTAGCACATCCCTTCTGGAGGGACAGCCCTCAACTGCCTGCCTATAAATTAGTGTGAATCAATCAGAAGCATRAATTGGACCAGAATCCCAAGTATAAAGCGCTTTTTTGCAAAGTTCATCCGGACTTCTGGARCTTCATTTCATTTCACATCTCCTGAAAGCTCCCAGCTTTCATGAGACCAAAGCAGGTGAGCAGCTTGTCTTATCCTAGCATTGCAGATACTTTCCAGTCATTTTGTTGGAATAATTCTACAAGTATTTTTATCCTACCTATACCCTGTGTCTTTACTTCTTTGTTCTACTGCTTCAACTCTATTTTTTCCCCTTTGGTGTATATTTATCTTAATGTAGAGTATTAGAAGAATGCACTCGTGAATGAGAGATAGTAAAGTAGATAATATGATAGAAAAAAATGACAAGGAAATATATGCTAAATGCTTTATTTAGTTATGAGAATACATCACACGAGTAATTTAATCCCAGTATGTTCTCAAGCAGCCTTAAAACCTCCCCACTTTTTCTTTTTCTCTTTTATTTGTTATTTATTTATTTATTTTAACTACTTTGGGTATTGGTGGTTTCTACTACTAAAGTAATGAAAATGGATGGGGCTGATGATGAATCATTGTGACAGTGTTTACTATCAGCAGGGATTTTTGCCAGAATATTTTAATCAGTAACAGCATCCCAGTGGCACTGGCCCACTTAGACCTGTAGATAAAATAATCATACTGGCGCTTTCCTTTATTTGTACTGAAGTTGCAACAGCTTAAATTAAAGCATCTATTAAGAGTAATAAATGAATCCATTCCAAAGCTGTGTGTGAGGCTGAAGGCAGCACGGCAGCRCTAGCGTGGCTCTCTCCAAGTGGCCCATGGGATCGCACACGTCGGAGTGGGCACAAGGCATAGAGAATCCCCTGACGTCCTTCCTTTCATAGGAGGGCACCTTTCTGTCCCACCGCCACCACCAGCCACTTGGAGAGCAGGTTTGTTAAGCAGTAACTGAATGCTCTTAATGACCTCGCACAGCCACGGGAGCCACGGGGATGTTTCTGTAGGCGTGAAGTGAAACAATTTGTGGAAAATCTATTTGCTAAGATATATACTTTGGTTTTGGACATGGGTAGTGCATTCTTACAGGTGTAGCTTAGGCTGGATTTTACCCTAGGAAAGAGGAAAACCAAACAAAATGGAGCCAAGTGCAGACTCAGAATCACTATTAAAGTATTAGTTCCCTCCCCAAGGAAAGGTAACTGACTTGCTGCTCTCAATCCTTTATCCTGCATTACTGCGGTCAGGGACTTCACTGATAATGACATTAGATACTAGGTTATTAGATAGCTTGCAATGAGCCTGTCGAATCTTCAAATTCTGAGGAGTTTGTGTCAGTTCAAAATTTGTTTTTTGAAACCATCATTAATTATGTTTGCAAAAGCAATTTCAGACAGCAAAATAACTTATACTGCTGTGGAAGTGGTAACTCAGGAGGTCTTTTACTCAGATTGCATATTTGAGTGTTACCAGTAATTGCATTATAACTGTACTATTGGGCATTTAATATGTAGGGCAGAATCATAAACTGTACTAATATCTGCCTTCATTTCTTTCAGGATGATTTTCTTTATAGTGTCTCCGTTTTAAGTGGAATCCTTTGCACTGTCTTGGCAGTGATCAAGTTTATGCTGGGAAAGGTCCTTACAAGCAGAGCACTGATAACTGATGGTGAGTCTGAAGATGATCCTATTCCATTTACAGTCTCCAAGTGAATACTGCAAACACAGAGGAGCCTGTGAGTCTTGAATGAGGGCAAATGTGGGAGAGCGTTGAGATAAAAAGGTCACTGGGAAACAGAAAAGAAAACCCCAGAACACTCTGTGGTACCAATAGCATCTTGCAAGGTACATCAGCAAATCTGTGTGTCTGATGGAAGTCAAACAGTGAATGGGTAGATAGAAAGCAATTATAGAGACGGAGTTAGATAGAGCACGTAACAAATAAGGTTTGGGTTTGACAGAGAGATTAGACAGATTAGATTTGACAGCGATTAGATGGCAGAGGAAGAATATGGCACTAAGTTTCACAGCTTTGGTTTGCTCATATCTGTCCTTATTGCCAGCATTCAGAAAACAAATTCATCCCAAGGCTGTTACAGAAAATGCCCTCCTGTCTTGAGCCGGAGTCACAGGCAGTGTTTCTGCACAGCTGCTCCAGGTGTAGCGTGCCACTTAGTGCTTCCCAGTCACCGCAGTGGAGCTGGGGCAATATTGCATCTGCAAGCAAAGCCTTTGCCTGCCTGTTGTCACACGCTCCTCTGGCCCCAACGCGGACTGCTGGGTGGGCATCTCCCCCACTGCTGCTTCTGCTGTGTTCATTCAGGGGCGTAGAAAACAAACTAGTTGTTTTTAAAGGTGTGTTCAGAGACTCTTTTTACTGGCAGGGCTAAAGCTTGTAATCCCTCAGAGAGCCACAGGGATCTACTCTATGGCAGGTGAATCCACAGCCATGGCTGAGACTTCACAGCAGCCTACAAATCACTGTCAGGTTTTATCTGCAAGCAGGAGGCAGTTTGAGATGCTCTGCACACATACACAGCAGGATGTTAATGATTCATGGATTGTGATACATAAATTATTTTGCTGCACTACAGATTTACTTTAAGGACCCTAAATTTTCAGCTTACTCTAGAAGTRCATACAATTGTTTTATATTAGGTATTCTAAACCTACCCAATTTATTTTTGTTTGAGGTGTAATAATACATATTAAGCTTCATGAGTATTTATATTTTAACTATGGTCAACTATGTTGACCGTTTCAGAAAAATTTCTAAGCAGACAACCCATTAACCATCTGYTCAAAAAATGTAGCTTGTTTTTAAACAGATCAGCTTTTTTTCAGACAAAATATTAGCTAAAAAATTCCTGAATAGCTCTAGTTGAATTGGTCTCCAGCGTGACAGAGAAATCTCTAACCCTATAATTACATCCTTGAGCTAATTATATTGCTTCTGATCTGCAGATTGCTCATCCCTTGATTAAAAGAATTAGAGAATAAAATATACAATTACTTTGGGCTATTTTTTTCCCTCTATTTTCTCTCTTATAGAGCTCTTTTAGAAAATGTAGGAGGCTGTTACTACCAGCTATAGTTAAATTAACTTCTTTCACAAAATATATTTATATATGTACTTAGTTTATTAACAATCAGCAGGAGACAATGTGATTCAGCAGCAGCTAAGACATAGGTTTAGCACTCCCTTCCATAACTGGTTTTAGTCATTTTCTTTTTTCTAATAAATTGCCTCCTGCTATCACTTGCTTTAGACTAACAAGCTGTTTGGAGTAACAAGAATATACAATCCTTTTCCTGGAAAACAGTGTTATTTTCATAACAGCAAATTCTCTCTCATATATGTCAACCCCATTAAGGTTATTCTTTTAGAACCATTTTGCTTTACAGTAGAGTTTGCCAATTGCTCTTTAAAGTCTGAATTTGTTAATTGCAAAAAGTTATTGATCAAGTTTGCGTGCAGCAAAAGCTCATGACCTTTTTGGATGACAAAGCCAGCGATTTCGTATCTTGAATTATGTAACATCTCAGAGGACACTTACACAATGTCAACCAGCTTTTCTGTAGGTTTAGGTACCTTTGTCTCCKTCCTAAACTGAGCCACCAGTCTTTTCCTGTTCTAGCCTTATGGGGGCTTTAGCCTTAATACCTGCAGCTATTAGATAGCTTCCTGCCGTATCAGCAAGGAAAGGTTTGACTGACAGTTAGGAAGAGAAAGTCACATCCTTTATAAGATGCTTTTTGGAACCAGCAGCCAGTAATGGCAGGAAAATATATTTCTTTCCTTGTACAAATCATGCTTACATATTCTGACATAAGCTGGAACATATTTACATGGGAAGTAATGCTGGTATGAGTTTTAAATTTATATCTGATTTATTCCATAGATGCATATCGGTAATATAAGCACTATATTGCTTAGGGGAAAAAAGAATCAGGCTCTTCCAGAATGAGAGTGGTCAGATGCCTCTTTTGGTTTAACTGTGATGATACAATAAATTTAAATGTAAAGCCTTATGGGCTTTTACATCTGTGCTTGATGCCTCTGTTGGTTTAACTGTGATGATACAATAAATTTAAATGTAAAGCCTTATGGGCAAAGCCTATTTCCACTCATGGTGGAGCTGTGACACTGATTGTAGGATATGCTACCCATGTACAAAGAGCAGGTCCTCTGTGTGGAGCTGGAAGCCTGAAGCCTTTGTAGGCCCCATTTTGCCATGGGCTTGTTAAGTGCCATGTTCTCTCCTGTGCCAGGCTTTCCTTTGCATTTAAATACCTACAGACAGGACTCTGGTGAATCTTAACAATTACAATTTCAAAAAGTGAACTGGAAATAGGAACAAGCAGGAACAGGAAAACTCGGAGCCTCTGTAAGTTTCCTTGAGCMACAGTGCTCACCACCAAACAAGAATAAGCTTTTCCGGCTGTTTTCCCTCTTTGGTACAGCAGAACAGGGCTAAGCCAGGTAGGTTCTTGTCTTTTTTGTTATCCAGTTTCTTGGTGCTCTGACTGAAGGGTCCAAACTGCCTCTGCTGGTGCACAAGGAAGGAAATAAAGTGTGTCTTAGAGTGTGTTGAAGGGCTAGGGAGGGCTTTCTTACGAATCATGGTCAGACACCAAGTAGTCCTAAGTGCGAGTTGTRCAGGTGCAGCCCCGCACGGAGCAGCCCGGGGAGCAGCCGCACGGCTCCCGCTGCTGCCTGCAGCCCGGTGGCACACGGGCCATGCTGGCGGCCACCAAACATGTCCTGGGCCCACTCCAGGGGCCGTGCTGTGGTAACAGGGTTCTCCCTAGGGATTTCCTCTTTGTAGGTGGGATGATTCTGGCAACTTAAGGAAGATTTGGTTCTTTTTTTTTTTTTTTTTTTTTTTCCCCTTCTAGGTTTCAACTCTCTTGTAGGTGGAATAATGGGATTTTCCATCCTTCTTAGTGCAGAAGTTTTTAAGCACAATTCTTCTGTCTGGTTTCTGGATGGCAGTATAGGAGTATTAATCGGACTCACAATATTTGCCTATGGAATCAAGTGAGTATTTTCTTATTTTTTCCTCTGTTAGCAAAACACAAACATACTTGTGCATTCATTCAGAGGCAACAGTGTTAATTTGTCTTATTTGTGAATGGGAGCAGTGAAACTTCCAAATGACAGGCATCCATCTGTGCATATATTCCATATTCATGCTATATATGCACATACTTTTCCAAGTTCACTACTGTACCAAAGTTTTGCAGCTCATTAGTTACTGACTATAGTGTGTCCTAAATCTGTTTAAAAATACTGTTATATCAAAAGAGAGGACAGATGGCTAATTTCAAYGATGGGGAAATAGAAATTTTAGATATTTTGGAACAATAGAAAAAAAGCAGTAGTTTAAGAACAGAGATCTTTCTTGTAGCTCTTCTGTATTTGTTTTTATTGTATCTTCTGCTTATATCAAATATGCTGCAGATGAGCTGCATTTTAATATAATAAGCCATYGCTCTTAAAGGCTTATAGCTCCAGTAAAATCAGTTCCTGGATGTATCTATACTCCCCAACAATACTGAAGCACAGTGTGTGGAAAAGGACTGTCYGTATCACCTCAGTGGTAAAAAGAAAGTGGAATCATTTCCACTTGCACACATTAATTTTGGAATTCTGTTAAGACTAAGTAAAATATTTTTGCTTTTGAAATACTTAAAAAAGTTACTATAAATCTAGAATGGATTTTTTCCATGAGGGTTTTATGGCAAATTTTAAGCACTGTCCTTTTCAAAGAAACTGCTTATTACAGATAAGATGCCTGAGTTTTAACAGCTTGACAGCGAATGGTCCCCTAGTCCTAATGTATGRCAGCATCGGGCTGCAGTGTTCCTGCTGATTTTTAAGGGAGTAGCAAGATGACTTCCTAATTTGTAACATCACTTCCACACATTTCATTATTGCCCAGATTTCATTCAGCTACCTGGAATGGAATCTAAACAGGTTCAGAGAGCCCAATTTTACATCTTTATTTAACTGTTCTGCCTAATTGCTCTCGTGCTTCCTCCACAGGTTGCTTATTGATATGGTGCCCCGCGTAAGGCAAACACGCCACTATGAAATGTTTGAATGAAGATCACAGCCTCGTCTCTGTAAGGACTGTGAAACTACAGCACCATACATTTTGGCAAGTGGTGCCAATGGTATTTTACTAAATATGCAGTTTCCCGTGGTCTGTTTTTGTTAAAGTTTGTTTTAATGGGAGATCTCTCTGTAAAACTGGCATATGTGCACACTGCTTGCAATTCAGCAAAACAGCAGCCTTTTTTCCAAGTATGCTATTGATTCCTGTGGCAGTAGAGAACATGCAGTCTGCAGTTTTAAGCCAGCAGCCATGCCGTGTGCTCCCGAGTGCAAGTGTTCTTCATGGTGTGATAAGCGTGTGGGTAAAGAAGTGCAAGTTTCAGATCTTTTTTTTYCCCTAGCCTGTATTTTTTAAACACATGCTGTAGCAGAAGTACAGTCCTTGCTCATCTCTTTGGCTAACAGTCTCCTATATAGAGTATGCCAGAGTATCCTATAGAGACACCACAAGCAGTGTGGCTTAAAGCACTGAACTAGCTACTTCTCTCCCCCTTTTAAACAGACCTACAGAATAAGCACTAAAGACTTTTTTTGTGATGAGAGAGACAATTCATTTAAATCCTAAATTACCTGACACCATTCCTCTTTAATTGAAATCCTGTTTTTCTTTCCTTACAAGACACTGTTCATTGCTTTGCATGGACCAAAAAAGCACACACAGTGCTCCTGTACAGACCAAAGCCAAAAAGACGTGCAAGGAAGAGGAGCTGCTCGAGGCGGATTCCCATCCTCTGTTACACTAGGCACAGCTGTATCGGCGTGCGTGACTTTGTGGTTGCTCTGTAGTMTGATGATGGCACAGCAGTGGCTCAACCTGGTGGTGAGATATAGGTCTATTTATTAGATTTAGATTGTTCTATATAATGTTGCTCACCTTCCATCACACATCGTATGTATTACTTAGTGCAGGTTAAATTATCAAAGAATCATGATGTATAATCAATAAAACTGGTATCTATTTTATACAGTACCTGTAAGTAATGTTTGAAAACTATTTCCAGAATGTATCATAGAACAAAGTCTTCCTGTATAGCAGCCTATTAAACTAGTTTCTCTGGCCATTGCCATTCCCTCTGTATTTTATATATTCCAGGTTGGCTTTCATAGGTTAGAGCCAGTGTTGTGATAAGCAGAAGCAACAAGTGGAGGAAAAATAGCAGGCAGTCAATTGTAGAAATTGAAATACTACCATGGTAAGTAGTCTAGTAGCTAGAAATCTCCCTTTCTAGCTATACTAGAATAGATGACAGACTAGAGTAGATGTAAAAATGAATGCACGGATTGATTGATGCTTAGTGTTATCTAAAATTGTATTTCTTATCTTACCTGTCACTTCATTTCTCAGGCAGATCTTCGAGATCATTATTAAAAGCAAGCTCCAAATGACACATGTAGGGAAAGACTATGCAGGGGTTTCAGACAGGATCTATGAGCTGCRCTGTACTTGGGAAAGTTTTACTCACTTCCTCTTGAATCATAGAATGGAAATCTCTTCACTGAAAAAATGAGCTCTACGCTGCTRCTATAGTTAGTTTACCTATATTTTAGCTCAGTTAAGTTTGCATAAACTTGTAATAACTTCTTAACATACTGTAACTTTATAAGATAAGTACTGTGAGTACTTGGGTGCTTGCTGGCACGAGAGCGTTGAAGAGCATCATGTCACCCGGGGATGAGATGAAAAGCAGCACTGTGCTTGACAAGCTGAAGGGGATACCTTGTAACTTAGTGAATGCAGCAAGGACTCTGGAAAGGCCACTGGTCTCTGGTTAAAAAGTGGACACTGCCCTCATCACAGGTGACGTCCAACTAAAATCCAAAACAAAACCTTCACTTCCAAAAGTTTTCTTYACTGCACGACTTCTTAATTTGTTACACTTTGGCACAATGCTGGTATTTTCCCATTATGCTGCTGCTTTAACTCCAAGTTCCCTGAAGAGATGCATRGAGACATTTCTCTGCTGATAAACTAGCACTTGTCAAGCATCAGTATTTTGTGAACAGAACCAGAGTCTAAAAATAGCTATATTCTGCATTTCATTTTGTTATTATTAGCACTGTTTATCCTTTTCTGCCTCTCCAGGGGCTTTATTATTTCTCCAGGCCCCTGYTAAGTGCAAAGTGCTAGTGCTAAGAACAACTCTAGGGAAATACTGGAAGTGCTGCTCTTTRCCACTCACTCCAACAGGCTGTTTCTAACAGTGGCCAGTGCAGCTGCTTCAGAAAAGAATTGAGAGGGTAAAATTGGCTGTCACAAGACACTTAACTACCAATGTAGCCCTCATGGTGCAGAAGCCATGGGCCTTCGTAGTACCTAGGGCATGCAAAATAACAGCCAGCTCAAATGGAAGCAATACTGTTAAATAGCCCTTGTCATAAACAGGAGCACAGGGACACAGAATAGCCATTTCTGGCATCATTTATTTGCAGGGCAACATGTGGCGGTCCTAAGTCATGGAGGAAAATTTAATAATACCGTAAAGCGAGTGTTTGTGCCGGTTTTGGCAATACATTTTTTTTTTTTTTCCTTAGAGTCAAAGCTCAACTCAAGCAGTGCCTTCACTGTCCCTTTTCTTTGGACGTCTCTGAGGTGGCAGTGAYGATCGCAGCAGGCTGCAGCTCCAGCAGCAGAGGTAGGCACTGGAGCTCTCAGAGCAGAGCTTCTCCTTGGATACAGAGCTGTCAGGGCAGCCTCACCTCGAGGCTGTAGGGCCAGACACCCGTGTTCTGCTCACAGCACCTTTTCTTCATCAGCAAAGGGTGCTCAGGTCTGTGTGTGTTGCAGCCAGTGCCCTCAAGCGGTGCCGCGGCCGAGCGCAGGCGGGCCCGGCGCGCAGCGGTGCCTGCGCAGGAGCAGCGCCCACAGCCACATTCCTGCGGCCTGGCCCGTGGGCCCAGCGCCTACGCAGCTGCAGAACAGCCCAACAGCAGCCTAGCAAGGCCTGTTTGCTCCCGTGTTTGGGAGCTAGCTGTTTTTGTTTTCCTTGCAGCCACAAGAGCAGGATTTGAGGAACCACTTCTGCAATTCTTGAGTGTCACCCACTTGGTGCTACCGCTTTCCCCCTCTGGGCTGTGGGCACTTGTGGAGCACATGGCACAAGAAAAACGAGTGTAGAGCAGGCCCAGGAATGGGCACCAACCAGAACAATCAAGTGTAGGAAACCTGAAAGGAGAAGCTTTGCAGACCCTCCCATAAAGGCTGCTACTTTGCCCATTACTTGGAAAACAAATTTTAAAAAATCCTGTTTTGTTTGGTAACACTTGCCACCAATGCCAGCATTTTTCTGAACCTGAGTGTTTAAAAGCCAACACCTTAGAGAGGTGTCGCAGCTCGCCTCAGCCAGCCGTGATGCTTAGGGGTGCAGTGACAAGCTGCAGCCACCTTTCGGGATGGGGGAGTCTGATCGACTGGCTGGCAGGCAGAGTCCAAGTGTGCGGCGCTGCCCGGGGCTGGTCACAGTGAATCCTCCCACGCGCAGGGTGAGTACAGAGCTAGGACGGGGTAGACCTGACTTAGTCCTGGCCTTTACCTCAGAGGTCGGCTGGGCTGGTTACTGGAAGCAGCAGCCCTTGCTGCTGACACGCCAGAGGTTCTTACCTTGCTACATTTTCTTTAGAAACAGTGGGGTTTAACCACCTTTGTCCACCAGTTTTTGTTTTGGCTTTATCACAGATGTGCCTGAGGCAGAGCCTTGGGGTCAGTCGCCAGCACAAGCCTGGGCATTACAGACCTCTGAAGGGAAGGCTCCACAGAAGAGAACAGGGCACATGTGAGCCGGTCAGAGCTGGAGCCTGCTCAGTGCAGACAGCATCTGATTTTTTTTTTTTTTTTTTTTTGGCAGTTAAGATTTAGTACATTTAAGTAAAATGCATTACTCATAATCAGTAAAATAATAAAGTGCAGACAAAGGTCGCCCTAAAGAGGCACCACCAAGAAGGCAGCCGGGCTGCTGCCCATAGCGCAGGGAGTCGGTGGCTCGAGGGAGGCTCCTGAGAGCAGCACGAAGCCGTCGCGACCACGTGGAGCCCTCGGCGGCCCTCCTGCCACGTGGAGATGGACAGAAACTGCTCTCTGTGGGTGAGAGTTGGAGTACTCTAGATTCAAACTGCCCCAATGATTTTCTTTCCAATACAGCTGCATGCTGTGTACCTTCTTTATTCCAAGTTCCTGTACATTTTTTTTCCCATTATGTGGCTGCAGCACAGCCCACGTGTGACTTCAGCTGCTCCGCAGTGCACAGGATTCTCCTTACAGTGGCAAAGCTGCACACCAGTGAGGGGCACAGAACTGAAGGAAAACATTTCCAAAACTGACCAGAACAAAGGACCGAAAGAGCAGGATCCCCTAGTAATTCATTCTGATGCTGGAAAACACAGTTCTCTTAACTACTTTTCTACCCATTTTAATCTGAGGTAAAGTATGGCAAAGAAACTTCCATAAAAGGGGTGTGCGCTGAGGAATATTCACATACTTTGTTTCACTGCAAAGGAAATAAAAGCCTCTTTGAGTAGCACAGGCAGAACCCAGGCAAATCCACCCTCAGGTGATTCCCAGTGTGCTGCTCTCCTAATGCAGCTAGTGAATACAGCGTGCAGGGGGACATCCACAACCCCGTGACAATCCCTCTCCTCACCTGCAGACCTGTTGCATTCCTACTTTGACAATTTTAGTTTATTTAGACCCTGACTAGCATGGTGTATCATTAATGCGAATGGAAAAGAAAAAGCCCAAGTAGGTATTTACTGATTTCTATACTATTCAGATTTTCTGTTACTCACTTTTGTACAACCTTGGAAAAAGGTGTTAGCAGCTACAAAATAACCAATTGCTTCTCTCCCATGTAGCACTGAAAAGGATAGTGTGAATGTCACAGACGGATGTTTTTATAACAGGTTAAAACCCAGGCCTTTAACAACCCCTTCTAATGGACAATTTTGCTGCCACCTGGATGGCTCTGTTGCTTTTGGACACCTCCACCAAACCTGTCAACATTCATGGTGGATGCTGACAATGAGGGGCCTATTCCTCAATCTCAGCGGGGTTAAGCAAGACCAGTGTGGCCAGAAACTGCCTTTAGCAGAGCAGGTGCAATGGCAAGGTGCAAGTTTGGTGCAAGATTTCACTTCATACGTATTTATCATGATCTGCTTTGTAGATACCTGTACTTCCAACTCCCAATTAAACGTGGCACCTCTCAGGTGCCCTGGCTTCACGCAGCAGCCCCTTCAAGGCACAAGGCTCTGGTGCCTGGATTCGGCAGCTCCAGGTTCGGCGCCCGGAGCGCTAGGGGCAGCAAGGCGGGCGCGGGACCCAGAGTCTCCCCTCTCCTTCCACATGAGGACATTTCATAAACATGTGAGCACTTGACATTTAAACTTGGCTCTTGAAAGAGAACACTCCTTAAAGCTCCTGTTTTGACATGGCATGGCTTTATTTTGGAATACATGCTGTGTTGTGCTGGTAAGGCTGGTATAGCAGTGTCTCATTGAGCAATTCCAGTGTCTGGCCTGTGTGTAAAGAACTCAAGAATTCCTAACTAATTCCTAATGCTAATTGCTGTGGCCAAATTGTCCACCTAAAATGATGCTTGACATTTGCCCCATTTATGTTTTGTTACCTGTTTTTCACAGACTGAAAGAGCTAGTTTTTCAACCATTAAGTCAGCATGACCCACCTGCATTAAAAAAAAAACAAAGAAACACCACTTGCCTGTTTTCCTAGGGCCCCGATGTGGGAAGCTGGCACTGTTTGTTCCATGGTTTCCTCACCTCTGGTGGCAGAAACGTCCTGCGGGTCTGCGGCTGGGCGAGCCACACTCAGGCACGTCCTGATAAATGGCAGCTCACCCATTTAAGCACAAAGCAATCATAAATCCAAATCACACAAGAAAAAAGTTTATTGAAAAATAAAGTTCTCCCTAGTATTTTCTACAACAGTGAAAACAAAGCATTTTTCTATGCCATTAAAGTACAGACATTTACTTTTCTAAAAAAAAAAAAAAAAAAAAAAAAAACCAAAAAAACCCAAAACCAACTCCCCCGCCAAAGTCAACCCGGTTGTGTTGAACCCCAGGAACGTGACAACGTCGGAGCCAGTGCGTTCTGTTCATTCTGAGCCAAACTGCTTGAACTTAATATAGTGGAACACAAGCTTTTAAATAAAACAGAGAATTGAGCTTCAGAAGAGATTTCAAACACATCGAGTGCGAGCCTGACGCTGAAGCTTCACGTACAGATAAAAGCTCCTGTTGACTTCAAATTTTATATCTGCAAAAGGTGATTTATTTTTCACTCTTACATTTTTCCCTGGTTTATAGAGTGTTGCAGGGAGTGTTCACAGAGTTTGCTCCCTTTTGCCCACAGAGGGAGTCATTCAGACCAGAAACTTTAGCTACCTTGTCCTCTTAGGCCTGCCCTCCGCGGCCAGGTGAGCGTAGGGAGCGCGTTCTCACACTCAGACGGGCCCAGGAACATTCCGGTTCTAACCCTTCTCTTAGCATCTTCAGGGTAACTTGCCTGTTCTTTTAAAAATTACTCTTTCTTTTCTTGTGGTAAAAACTGCCATTTCCCCCTCCTGCTCCTCTGCTATATTCCTTTCAGGGAAAAAAAAAAAAAAAAAAATGTGACTTGTTAGAAAGGCTCCTCGGGGTCCCTGCCACAGAGTTGCCAGTGAGCGTAGCAGGCAGTTACGGGCAGAGCCCTGTTGAAGGCCCTGCCTTCGCGCACCCGCTCAGCYTGATTCACGCTGCACCTCTTGGGTGTTTCAGCATCCTGGCAGGCGCTGGCGTGGGCGGGAGGCAGGGGGAGCAGGGCTGGGGGCGGCGCCGACGTGGGGTTCTCACGGGGTGACGGAGCAGAGCGACGCCGCGCGTTGGGCTCAGACACGGGGCCCGCTCGGGCTGCACGGGCGGCGCGAGCAGCTGCACCCGCCCCAGGAGCGGGGGCGCCGCGCAGTGCCCGGCCCGCAGCACGGAGCGGCGCCACGGGCAGCACCTCCACTGGAGGACCTGCCTTTATCCCTTCAGAGACGGGAGGCTTCGTGCTGCTGAAAGGCCTGCTGAGCTCGGGCATGCCCCTTCTCTAGCTGCACRAATACAGAGACTAAGCCTGGAAGCCCCTCGTTACATGCTGTTTGCCAGGTTCTTTCTCTCTGGAAGCAAGAACAAGGACCGGAGCTCGGAGTGGAGGCACCTGGGCCACTGCTGCACTTCCCAACACGGCCCTGCCGTAAACATTTCCCACCTGACACGTGGAGCGTGTGGTCTACACATTCTGCTTATAGATAATACTCGGAAAATACAAACGAACTTAAAAAGCTAACTGCTGCTTAAAAACGTGAGGACAAGATTTAAGTCACTGCCCACAGAACAAYGTTTCCATGTTACACGTATAGCAATATTATTAAGCGCCTAAATGAAACTCTCTGTGTCCCGGCCGCTGCAGCCACGTGCCTGTCAGAGCGGGCCCAAAGGGACGGGGCCAAGGGAGAGGGCTGCAAACRGAAGGGGTCCCGTGGGAAGGCAGAGGCGGAGCAGTGCCGGGGCCAGCGCCACCGAGCGCCACAGCAGGCAGCACCCCAAGAACGAGGAATAACCATAAAAACAGACTGTGGCGTTGGAAAGTGATCATTAATACTCTCAAAAAAAGAAAAAAGATACAGAGCAGCCCTATTTAATCAAGATTGCAACCAGCACGTTTGGGTTTAGCCTGCAAGACACAGCGCTTTACACTTGCTGAAAGAAGGGAGAGCTGCTTTTTTAGTTTTAACAAGAATTAGCGCAGGAGATCCACAATCACTGAAGCCAGTGGGAGTCATAAAGTTAATTAGACTTGGATGAGATTGGTCCCAGCCTGATGCGTCCCATTTAATTTATTTTACTAGGAGCAAAATCTGGTCCTGAAATGCACCATGAGCAAAATATGTACCTGAGAAAGCAGTTTGGCTTTTGTTTGTGTTAAAAGAAAAAATGCTGCAAGCTTGTAAATCATCTTTTAATTTAGAGRAGCCAGGCGTTTTTGGAAAGAGAGGTCATGTCCCTAACATCAAGGATAAACTAAGGCTGTCGAGTAGGATTTTAAAGGATACTATCAAAAATGCATGATTTTGCAAGGAAAAGAGACATCTGCGAACAACCTGATTTGCAGCTGAAGCCAACAGCAGCTTTCAGCAACTCTGAAAGCTGCTCACAAAGCAACTTCCAAAACTGACTGCAAGGGAGCCCACGGAGGAGCCTGGCTCCATCCACAACCACTCAGCAACATCCCACTGAAAACCGAGCCACAGGCAGCAGGCAGAGCATCTTTCTTGCAGAAAACCAGTAGCATAAAAAAGAAAAACCTGCAATAATCCAGGTATCCAGATTCCCCTCAGCGCTGTGAGTCCTGGCTCAGACAGCGGGAACGGGCTGCGTTCCAGTGGTCACCCCGTGCACTTCCCCGCACGGGCGTCTGTCTGAGACCCACCCGAGCTCCTCGCCAACGCTGACCTGTCTCTGATCCAGGGGCTCCGGCTCCCTCCCGAGGAGCACAGCGGGTTTTGACTCTTGCTCTCGTCATTAAACTCACGCTCCATCCCAACTGGAGCCCTTAAATTCAATTACAGATATTCCATAAAGGACATGTTGTTTACAGAAATTACACTTCTGCAAGAATCATTAACATTACGGTATCTGTTATCCTCTTATCTCTCACCTTCTATTTTTAGAACAGATTTTCCCACTATTTTTTAAAAACATTCTAAATTCACACCACTAATAGTTATGTAGCCATGAGGTGTTAATTCCACCTGGAATTAGTGTTCCATTATACTTGTTCAGACAGCGTTCATATTGCAAACACCCATCTGACACACCAAAAGAAAGCGAAAAAGGCACATAAACATTAAATATTTGTAGGAGAAACATAATCCAGTATTAACAAGCAAACACACAACTGCAACTATAAATTACAAAAAGAAACAAACTAAGCAAAAAAAATGCAAAAAGCAACTCTATTTATACATGTGCAAATCAACTTGCATATATGAAATAAATGAGGTTTTTATTGGCATTTTAAACAGTGTGTATTTACCAACTTCACCTTTCAAAGGCAAGCCTTTTATGTTAGTTTTAATAAATATGTAAATGTTTCTCTCAAGTTTTCTAATCTCATAGGAACAAGACTTTTGCAAAAATTAGGTCACATACAAAAATACAAAATTTTAAAACAAAGAATGTCTTGATATGAGAGATATGTTTAAAAGCTTGTAAAATGTTTTTACACTCAACTTTTGCCATTTTTTCCTGTAATCACTGATCAATGTATTCAAATGCAAGCCTTGCAAAAACCCAAATTCTGGGTAAGGAAGCTGCAAGCTAAACTGTTAGACTGAAAAAATACCAGACATTAACAGGGTCCCATCTCTAACACCCTTCTTTAAGTGCAATATTTGGACCGCCCGATTCTGCTGTAACGGGGAAGGAGCAGAGCTGCGGGAGGCGGCCGGACGGCTCCTCGCGCCCCGGCCGCTCGCGCTGCGGCCGCTGCTCCCAGCGCTGCTCCCACCTGCGCCCAGGAGCTTGCRGCTCCGGCCCGGAGCTTCCTCTGCACAAACACAGGCCCAAGCTCTTTCCTTACCAGCACTTCTGCAAGGACAGCTCAGCTGCTATGTCTAAGATTATAACATAGGCCTATGAAGTCACTGAGTTGATCCTTTAAGAACTCATTTCCTATAGATTTCAGTTTATTTTAGGATCGGACCYCGTTGGGAAGCCAATTGACACGCTCTGTCCGCGGCCGAAACGCAGGCCGAGTCGCTGTTCGCCGTTTCACTCTTACCAGCGTGCGGTAATTCAGTTCAGTAGACTAGAAAGAAACAGTGCAACAGCACGAAACAAACCAAAACAGAACAAAACCCAAACCCAGAGCTTGTAGTAGACTCTCCCTGCTGCCCTAAAGGCAGACTTACCATTGAGCAAAGCGCTAGACCATAAAATGTTAAAATAACAAGTATCAAACCCCCATCTTTAAAGTTTCAGAGGCAAAATAAAATGCAGGATGCCAGGTGGTCCATATAGCAGTGGTGGGAACAAGCAGATACCTATTTACAGCAAAGGATTACACTACAGCAAAAACTATGTGTTTTGCATTCTGTAAGTGCACACATACAAATGTTGGTTGCCAATGCAATTCCATAATAGCTCACTCTAAATTATTAAATTCCTGCCTGGAGAGCCTCGGGCTGAATTGTCAAAGATAAATCCTGTTACTTTTGCTTCCTGCACCAGGCAGCAGTGTAAATGCTCTCTTTAAAGCACAGGGTTTTCCAGTTGCACAAACGTGCGCGAGGAGCTGGGGAGCCCTTGAATTAAAAAAAAAAATAAAATAAAATAAAATAAAATAAAAAAAAGCTGCTGGACCTGCTCACACCCACTTCCAATCCTCCTCCTGGGCATTAAAACTTGCAAACTACCTTTGTGGTGCGAGAACAAAATGCCTAGATATGCAAGGGCTTCCTACCAGGCTCTGCTTGTTTTCCTTTTCACACAAAAACCTTAGCTCCCCATTAAATAACCCAACTGTTCCGTTTCTGGATATTTACTCTTAAAATACAGGAAATTTTATTCTTGTCATCATTTAGTCACTGGCAGCAACACTGCTGTTGAATGTTCCCATACAGTCTTTTTGGATAGTGAAAAATCTTTTGAAATTTAAGTTAATGAGCAGGCTGCAGGGCCGTGGGGTGGTACAGCACAGCGACAGCCGGAGCAGGGAGCCAGGAAACAGAACATTTGGAAATGCAAATTCCTCGCTTTTAAGGGGAAACTTTAAGCTGCTTCTTTTCTGTTAACTTGCCTTGGGAATTCAGCCGGAGCTCCCCAGCATTCTGCTTGTTTGGTTTGTGGCAGGTCAAGAGATGCATCAAAACCCACAGGCAGATAACAAGGGTCGGGTACGAGAAAAACACGAACCTATTAGAGCCAGGAGCAGAGACCTTGACGTTTCTATGGGTTTCATTAGTTCTGGTGGCCGTGAGGCCCTTCAAGCCAGCTGGAGGCCCTTCAAGCCAGTGACCTCCAAGCCAGTGACCTCCAGTGTGGTCACTCACACACGAGGCTTCTGCTTTCAAAACCCACTGCAGACTCTTGTCACTGAGCCCAGGCCGGGGCTGCCGCGGCGCTGCGGAGCATCCTCCTCGCGCGGACGACAGGCACAGGCCGCCCGACACAGCGCGGGGTGTTTGGGAAGATTCAGCTGGCTGTTCCGAGCAAAAGTAGCCTTGAGGTCCAAACTCYTGAACTGCTTTTTTCTAAGAAAAACTAACTGGCATGCTTGGTAAAAAATCATAAGCACCCCTTCCCCGAAACAACCAAGGAAGCCGTATGACTCATCAAGACTTTTCTTAGAAGTTGCTTGTCTTCTCTTAGCTGCTCTTCAGAACAGATTGCTCTTTAAAAACCTAGCTAGTTATGACGACATTTTACATTTCTATCATACAATAATTATAGCTAGCTTAGTGTAACCTTTCTATGTCATTCAGCAACGCTCTAACTACTGGAAGGCGCAGCAAACTGAGGCTCTAGCAATACTAATGCTCCAAAAACGCTGAGTATTTTTTGCTTCACACAGTATTTCTAGTAGACAGACTACAACAGAAGCATGGGCACATCCCAAGGACTACTCTCTAAACAGGTCCGGTGGCCTCGGACAAGTCCATCTAGAAATGGCAGCTCCGTTCCCGGAGCTTTTCCGCAGCGGAACGTGCCGCAGGGCCAGGCAGCCGCCAGCCCAGCGGGACGCGGCGCCCCGGCAGCCGCCTGTGCTCGTCGCGCTGCTTGCAGGGCTGCCTGTATGCAGAGTTGGGGGGGCTTCTTGAAAAGGAAGAGAAAAGGAGAAAAGAAGAGAACTGGGCCCAGATAACCTGGGGCACGATATGGAGCTACCTCAYGATTCCAGGTGTGCGGGAAGTTTGTGGCTGCTTGTCGGCCGCTCGAGCCAAAGCAGAACCCGAAGCCTCCCCACAGCCCTCCCGCGAGCCCCTTGCCTCAGTTTTCTACTGGAATGAAGTCGAGGTCCTTTAACTAACCACGATGAGGGACGGCCTAACTCATTAGAAAACAGAAACCCCTCGCTGCACCCAAGCAACCAAAGAAGTTTGATGGGTCTGATTGGCTACAGACTGTTCCGTGCAGTTGTCTTGGAACCGCCACAGAGCGTGAAACTCGCTTCTCTCCTCAAAGGGACGAAGGATTGAAGGGTTACGCTGCAAATGTCCTCACAGGAGAGAAAAGCAGTTAGAGGTTCCTTATGAAGCCCTTCTCTCTAAGTAGATAMTTCTGCCCAGCAATGATAGCTCTGCCTGCAGCAAGAAACCTGGACGAAAGTGCAGGAAGTAACAAGTAGCTTCTCTCAGAACTACTCAYGTTTTGTCCCCACCGCCAAGGAGCTCTGCTGCTGCTATAGGCAGTCCTTGCAGAGCGCGACCTGTCCTTTGATATAGTCTCTGCAGGGGCAGATCCGTCTGTGCGTTGGGTGGGATCCGGCACAGCTGAACAGCAAGAGGTCCCCTTGGAAGACGCAGTGCTTCCTTCTGCCGTCGAAAGAGGGGACCACAATGTCGTTTGCAGACTCCACCGTGTGACATTCAATGTGGTGCCTAGAAAGCAAAGCACACGCTCTAAATCCCAGGGGAGTCTCCAGGAGCTCAGGGCAGTTTTTCCCCCCTCGCTAGCAGTGCAGTGAAACGCCTGTGTTCACAGCTCTGCGCTTGCTCAGGGAACTCCCCTCACCCAGATTCTAGCTGCAGAAGGTAGCACAGCGTTTTCAGCTTTATTCCCTTTGCTAAAGACTAGTATGGGAAGTTAAAAAAGAGAAAAAGGCTTCTGACTGCTCCCTAAAGTCTAATATTTTAATATAATCTGGATCTCTGGCAAGACAGAGCCCAAAGAAGCTGATATGCAGCAGAGATCAATCCAGCCGAGGYGCAAGCAGGAGGCCACCGCGTCCCTCACCAGTGCCCAGCGCTCATGGGCAGCAGCTGGAAAGGAAAAAGTCTAATTGCCGTTTTCTGACCACAGAGCTCAAGGTGCAGGTAGCCATTCCAACTTTGCTCATTCTGGAAACCTTGCAGGCTTTCAGAATTCAACGTTTTCTTTTCTCCCAGAAGCATAACTTTGTCTGGACAGCTAGAGAAGCCACAAATCTGAAAACACTTYATGTGTTTCTGAGAGCTGCTTCTGAATGTCACTGAAAAGTACACCATTTATAAGCAAAACTGAAACCCCCAAACGCAACCTTTAGTGTATATTTATTATTATTACTAAAAGTTAGCAGATGGGGTCCCCAGGGGACATTTGTGGGCACCTGGCTCATTTCTTACTGAAATGAACACATTTCAGCACATCTGGGAAGCAGCAGCCCTCGCTCCCTGCGCCGCTGGCACACGCTGCAACTTGTCACTGACGTGTCCCATTCAAAGGACTCTAGGAATCTGCAGCTGGGACACTGCTCTGACAGCAGGTCTGCAGAAACTACCCCCTCACTGCCAAGGAACATGGATATTTCCAAATGGATCACGGCCAAAGAGTGCTGAACAAATGATAATAGCTAAGCAACACCTCACAAGCAGCGTGTTTGGGAGCAACCGCTTCCAGCACACGATAAACACTGAGGATTAAGGAGCGCAGCGCGGAGCGGCAGCGCTCGGGAGCGCCCTGGGCACTTACCTGAGCAGAGCTTTGTCCTTGTTCAGGTGCTGGAAGAAGGAGGGCTCGCAGATGAGCTGGCTCTCCTGACAAACTTGCTTACAGGATTTTCCAGGTTCAGCAATTTTTACTTGAAGGGCACTTAGTGGGGGCCACATGACCTGCCCGTGGCAGAAATCCTGCGGCGGCAGAACAGACCTGTTAGGATGCAGCCTGCCCCCTGCGAGCGATTTTCCCACTAGCGAGATGCCAGTGATTATCATTAAGCCAAACGCTCATTCTGCAGCTTGTATTAAAATAACTCAAGCACAGTATTTTTAATTATATTTTTAGCACAGTGGAATTATCACCTTTGATCACTAGTTCAACTCTGGTAGCATCTAATCCCTAAGAAGCTTCTTTCCTACTTGCAGCTTTTTAAAATACGTAATTAACAACTCTAGAAACTCTCATTATGCACAAATACCCAATTTGGTCTCCTCAGCGACACCCTCCTTCCTTAATTCAGGCCGCAGGACCCAGAGCAGCAGAGGGGCTGCAGGAGGAGCCGGGGGGCCAGGCTGCACCCTGGGCCCCCCAAGAGAGGTGTCTGCTCTAGGGACTGGACTTGGGCTGAGCCAAAGGGCTCTCCCTAACCTGGAAGGAAATGCGGCCAGCAGGGAGGGGGGTCTGAACACACCTGCTAGCAAAGACTGTGCAAACACTCGTTCTTACTGTCTTGATACTTAAAATGAGAAAAATTGAACACAGAATTTGAATCAGTGGCTTGCTTTAAAATCCCACACTACTCAACCAGCATGTTGTTATTCTCTAACKGTCCTCAAAACAACTGGGGTCCAGTCCAGCAAAACTTCTTACACAATCAATATTTGTATCTTATAAAGCAAAGCAAAGAAAAAAAAAAAAAGTACCTGAATTTTTAATGAAGTGTTTTTTTCCCTGTTTAGACTTTCTCTGCAAGGTCTACACATAAATTTTAAAAAATTCTGCTAGTATTTATGGCCCAGGGGTAGGCCTGCACTGCAGGACTGGTGAACAGTAGCTGGTCAGGGGCATTTTTTTAATGAAGTCCTTTCAAAAAGGCTCTGGGTCAGCTGGGCTTAGCTACCCCGCTTAGCAGGTCATTTGAGAAATCAATACCTAAAATACTACCTAAGGGGAAGAAACCTACCTATGCTCAAAAATTAGTCCATTGCTAATGTTTAAGATTTCCATTTCAGAGGAGCATCCATTCCACAACAGATATAACAGATACCACACACTAGATGAAGGCCACTTGCTAGTCCRCTACTGCAGCACTGCATTAACAGGGTCACCTCTTACTCGTGAGCTTCTAATGGACTGGGGACCTCTTTGGGAGTCCTTACCCGGAGCAGGGCCCGGGTCAGGCACYGGCTGCGTCCGCCCCAGCTCCCGCTCCAGCTCCCACTCCTGCTGCTCTGCCATCTCCCTGCCAGCTCCGCGCGGAGCGACTGTCCCTCACAGTGACACTCCTGGCAGCTGGAACAGCAACAGGGCTGACAATTAGCCAAAATAAAGACCAGGTGACACCATAGGAGCACTTGGTAGATGTTGGGACAAGGTGCCCCTGGGAGGGAGGGAGGGAGGGAGGGAGCAGTTTTGCCCCACAGACACCATCTCTGCACTGTTATTTTGTCTCCCTTCTCCTGAGCTCCACTTCTTCCTTTATTGACCAAACCTCTCAATTACGGCTAAATCAGAAAAATCAAAAGGGGCAGAGAAGCTTTTAGAGGCTGTTATCAACACAGCGGCAAAAAGCATGAAGGTCTATGGGCAGGAAATTGGAAATAACCATGTTATGTTAACTACGCTTTGAAACTGAAATGTTCTTTTTAATTGCTGCCTGCAATATTGTCAGTGCTCAACAACACAGGCTAGGGCGCCCATCCAGCGCGTTGGAAAGCTCTCCTGGAAGCTGCTGGGCACAAAAGACAACCAGATTATTCCTGCTTTTCTGCAGAAGCCAGAACAAAAGGTGAAACACAGGCGTCTGCAGCAGATCTGGCCTCAGGCAGAAGTCCAAGCAAACATATAGCTTTGAGGAGGCAGGATCTCATTCAAGCCTCTCCAGTTATTGCTCCAACTCAATACTGCTGAGCTGTGGTAATAAGGCATGGGGACCAACAGTCTTTTAAGTAAATGGTTTCCAAACCATGTAAAGCTTTATTGATTGACACTAAATACTTGAAAATCCATCCAGATGCTTCGACCTAAGTGCAGTTCTACCACAAACACACTTCTCTATATATGTGGCGTTGCAAGATACAAATATTTTGTGTGAAAACATTTTTAAAAATCCTCGAGAACCRAGCTGCCCTTTCTGCTCTGACACAAGAGCAGAAGAGGGAAGGCTCTTTGCAGAGGGCCCCCCAGAGCTCTGTGCAATGGGCGCCACCCCAACAGGAGGCTCTCGAGCCCCACGTCGCCGGGGGCTGCTCACGTGGGAGCTGCAGGGATCCCCCCTCCCTCCGCGCGCGGCTCTTACCTGCCGTTCGATGAACGCGTTCATCCTCTGCAGCATCCCCTCACACGTGAACTCGTAGGGCAAATAAGGGTCAATCTGCAAAAACATTGCGCATTCGGGTTACGTTGTTTGGTTTGGACACATTTTGTGGTAGCAGCTYGTATAGAATATAATACGTAATAGTCTAACTAGCAAAAATAAACACAAATATAGTCATTAACTAATCACCCTTTTGCAAAGCCAACAGTTTAAGCTGATTTCTTCTTCTTTGCAATGGCAATGAAAAAATTGCTCGGTGATTATCTTTGAGGAGATGTTAAATGAAGGAAATTCATGGTTTACTGCAAAGTGACAAAGCCTCCGACACCGCTGGATCCAAAAGCCTCCATTTTAAACTAAGTGCCAATTAGTGCTGGATTTGCAATAAAAAAGAAACAATATGACAAAAAAAATGGTACCGTTAAAGATGCTTTCAAACTGGCTTGCTTTTCCAAGTGCATTCACTGGAATTGCACACCATAAATGCACAGTACTTATGCTAAGGCTAGAAAATCAGCGACAGGAGTTGAGCACATATTTGGACAGGATGCAATGCTCTAGGAATCAGCTCAGAAACTTCCTCACTGAATGCACCGAAAACACAGATTGCTCTATAATTTACATATGAAATTCACATTTCTTCACAGACTTTTTTTTTGCATGTAACACTCTGACGTACCCCCTACTAAATCATGATAATCAGATCCAGAGAGACAGAACAGCAACATTTTATTTTAATACCCTTCTGGAGCACAGCATTATGCTCTGCTTAGAGACCCCACTGCACGCAGTGCATGATGTGCTCTCGGGTGCTAAATACAGCTGGAGAAAACACTTTTCTCACCTTTTGGTTCAAAATTGCTTTCACCGCTTTCTCAACTTCAGAATGATCATTGATGTCTACGGTCCAGACATGAGGCTTCCCAATGTAAACTTCAGCATAGGGATGCTGAGACGTCAACTGAAAGGAAGAAATGATACCATAAGAATCAGCGGCAGGACGCCCTTCCCTGGCTCGCTCTCTGCCAGACCTGCGGGATGAAGCACGCAAAGATAATGCAGTGGTTCAGCTGGAATTGCACAGTCAGCATCAATCCTTCTAAGCTCTATTCCACATTTTCTGGGTTTAGAGAGGGAATTTGGTCAGCAAACTGCAAATCAGAAAATTACACCGACTGTAAGTAACATCTGTGGCTTTATTCTCACGATGACAAATACAGCACAGTGTTTGCTGCTCACTGGAAGTACTTTCACCTCCCAGAGCTGGGCTGAACCTCATCTGCAGAGCAACCCAGTCCTGGAGAGGCTCAGAGAGAAGTCATCGCTGCCCTGCGCCACCTTTGCCCGGCCCCTCTCTGCCTGGAAATCTAAATATTTCCAAGTTTCTACAAAGAGGACAGAGCAAAGCACCATTTCTATCACCCCGGATGAATTCTGATTCTCAGTGCAAGAGCGATTTGACCCCAGTGACAGCATTAAAAATGATTGCTCACTGTCTTGTCAGACAATTTCAATAAAGAATTAGTTAGATCAACTCAGAACAGGGAATGCTTGCTTGCAAGAAACGCTGTAACTAAGAGGACAACATTGAAAATAATTTTTTCTGACAACTTTCACAGAAATAAATGAAATAGGCAAATGGACACACTAAAAGGAAGTGAAAATTGCAAGAGAGAGAAGTAGGTTTCACAGTGACCTCAGAAGAAAGCTGCTTTTTGAATAAATACATGATAGGAAAATAATGGGGTTTTTATTTATACATACACAGCTGTCCCTTTGCATAATACAAAAAAACTCCCCAAAACTCGAGAGCAGAAAAGCCCTGAGGCAAAGAAACATGTTCGCTGGAAAGACTCCTCTCTTGACCTAGGTCCCTACCACCCTTGTTCCCTTGTGTAAATGAATGCAAAGCAAAAGTGCAAGATTTGTAATAATGATGATGATGATAATAACAACAATAACAATAAAAAGGTCCCTGCTGCTGAGTTTTGTTTGCAAGAGCGGCCTGCAGCCTGTGCTGTGATGCTGCCCAGAGCCGGGTCCCGGGGCTCGAGGCGCAGGGCAGCGGGGCCGGCTCCGGCCGAGCGCCCCTCCGGGGGGAATCCCTCCGCAAGCCCCGGCCTCCCACAAGACCTGCACGTTCCTACCCTTTCTGACAGCACTTGCATAACCACCCAGTCCATAGGTACTTAAAACCCTGGACTACCCACGCTGCCTGAATTGGAGGGCACTTAAGTCCAAACTCTGGGCTGCAGAAGCCGCAAYCCCAAAGCTTCCCCAAACAGCCAAAAACTTCTACTGCACCTTCAGAACATGGACACGGCTGGCACCCCAGGCTTTAGGGATTATGCCTTGGGCCTGACTTTCTCTCACCATCTCAGACAGCAGCACTAAGGCCAGATTTGGAGGTGAACCAGTGGACTGCTYAGTTTTGAGCTGTGTAAGCAGCAAGAGCAATTAGCAAGATATTTTTATTGCACCAGCTATTCTGCACATACACTCTCCAAAAACATCAACTCCTTCCTCATATGAAATGCTTTAATCAGCCAGAGTTTACTATTTTAAACACTCATGAGACACTCCCTCAGTCTATAATTAAAGCCTATAAAAAGTTCTATAAATTTTGAATTAATTTATGATTTCAAGTCTTTTTCTTCCCAAACACAGAAAATAAGTGCTGTGGGAAAAAACACCCACATGTTTTAACTAGATTTAGCACACAATGTTTTCTTTCTTTTTTTAAGAAATGGAGATGAAACGCTGAAACCCTAGTACAGACCCAGCAGTTTGATGCCAATTAGTTTCCTTTTTTGCTTCTTGTCCCTTTTCCCATCAGAGTGATGCTCCAAGACAAAGCAACTGTTGATCTAAAATGAAAATTCTAATTTCTTGTTTTCAATTGTCCTGCAGGGTTTTTATTGGGGGATCTACCCTGAGGGTTGCAGGGAGAAAACAGTTCTCTAAACAAGAGAGAAATAGTGACTTGCTTAGCAAGGCTGCTCTGCAAAGCAGCAACCTTGGCAGACTTTATCCCCACCGCCCAAGCGGTGCCTGCGCCAGGGCAGAGGGGCCGGAAAGGCACAAACAGCCCAGGCAAGAACAGCTTCCAGCGGGGCCCAGTCCAAGCCCAYGGTGGCTTTTCCTTCTCCTTGTTGTGCCCTTTGTTAGCAACATTAAACTATGAGAAAGGGCAAGTCTGGACTCGGTGACCTGAACCTACCATTTGTGTAAGGAGCAGAAAGGCAGTTATAGTCAAACCCTATGGAATTTGTATTCTTGGTTTCCAGTGGGAAACTGCCCTTTGCTCCTCAACTAGTTGGAGCTGCTCCGTGCACAGTTTAGGCAGCTGGAGCATCGCTGCTATGACAGAATTCTGCTGTGCAAGATTCCCGTTCTCCAATTCTTACCACAGAGCTTTCCTGCAGGGAAGTACGTAAAGAAAATACATGKACACGTTCATTAACAGACGCCTGCAATAGCAATATGTGCACACACGTGCCTAGGAGAACAGATCACGGTCATAAGCCAGAGGGCTGGTGTCCAGAACGGCTACAAACCTGCTGAATTCCCACAAGTGGCCCAGGCCTCCGGTCACCTACCCTGAAGCTGAACATTCCCAGGCTAGAGCCAGGCAGAGGGCTTGTTTACTTAGCTGCATTTTTCCCCTAATAGAGGCTAATAGAGTCCTAGCTGTTTGGAAACTTGGAGTTTTGGTTTTCCTGTTCTCTTAAAAAGTTAGTTCTCCAAATGTATTTAGTATTCAGCCACAAACACACTGGGTTGGGTTGTTAACATTAATACCAGAGCTCAACTGGGCCTTGAGCAGATCTCTTCTGAAGGAAGGGAAAAATAAGCTAAGAGCATATACACAAAAGCCCCCATATAACTTTTTTTAATTAATTAAAGCCCCTCTCTTACTTCCTGCACAGTGCACAGTAGCGTTTGTTTGTTCAACAAAATAAAAAATCCCCTCAAACTGTCACATCATATACAGCATGGCAGGATCTGTTCCTGGRCAGAACATTGGGTTCTCAAGGGAACCTTAAGTCTACGATCTGCCTGTAAGATGTSCATATAGATACACAGAGCCAGAGCTTAACAGCACATCCTATCAAAGTAAAGAGTGAAAATCCCATCCAGGGCTAAAGAAATAACAGACGATTTTTGCAGTGAATTGTGAACATATATGTGATTTTTTCTGTCAACTTTACAGTGGTATAAAAAAGAATCCCATAGTGACATGTAACAGATATTATCAGCATTAAGCAGCTCACCTCTCGCAGTGTGGGCTTGCCTTTGAAAAATTCTGTATTCTTGCTGCTTTTTGGTGGGCTGAATCTTAAATTCAGGAAAGCGCATCCATTAGCAATAGCCTCCAAAGGAGCAGGCCCTTCATATGGGAATCCAAGACCAACAAACAGCTGAAAAACAGAAAACAAGCATCATCTTCATATTCGTTCTTTACAAAATTTGAAAGCTAAGAGCTAACCTAACATGAGCCAGGCTGCACTTCTAAAGGCACAAGCCTACAAAATGCAACATGACCAAGAAAAGGGCTCGGTCACATTCTCTTACACTCTTCTACCAAATGAAGAGAACCACTGTGCCGGATGCTGCAAGGGATTCGGCCGCTCCCTCTCCTTCCCCTCACCTCCAGCCCAAGCGGCACTGGAATGTCCTGCACACCACATTTGACAATAATCTCCTGTAAGGAGCTGAGAAGGGTTTTCATGGAGCAGAGGCAACARCAGCCCCTTTCAGCTACTTTTTGGGGAAAAATCCCATTCAGTGGTTTGACCGCGGATCAAATGGGAAGTGCTGGGCTGCTGAGGAGCAGGCAGAGGGTCTGGGGCAGCCGCCTTCCCGGGGCCACCCCGGTGCTCCCCAGCCCTCCGGAGCCGCTCCGCTCTGCCCRTGTGGACACGGTCCTGCCGAATACGGTAGATGGCAGCAAACACCAGCAGAAGACCCTGTGCGCAGGAGATGAACGGGACTCGATGCCTCCAGGGGAAAATGCACCACGGAAAAGCACCATGAGCTACTCCTACCATGAGCAGAGACTACAAGTGCTCTAGAAAAGGCAGCATTTTTTCCTCCCATGTAAAGAAATCCCGTATTTTGTCATAGATGCATGGCAATTATTTATTTAGATCTCTACCTCTTTCCTGTACTAGTCCAGTACAATTAAAAACACTGAATTAGAAACAGGGGGTTTTACTTATAAGTCTGAGTATAATGACAGAATGAGGAGCTCTGATTCATAACAACTGTGACTACCACAAATTTCCCAGCACTGCTAGATGACTTCACATAAAGACATACATAGCTAACTTCCCCCCCCAGAAAATAATGACCAAGTTTCCTAGCAATTAGCATTGTGTATCCATGATGTATGTAGTCAAGGAGGCTAAAATGTACTATTCGATATTAAGTTTTCACCAAAATGGAAGTGAATCTTAGTAATAAGGAATTGAAGCCCCCTCCGCCTTTTTTTCCTCTAGAAACTTAGGTAAGGCATAAAAACTAAAACAATTATAATATTAAYGCACAAAATTCTAGTGACTCTTGTTGTGTAAAGGCTTTGCAGCGTTAATCCTCAGTCCGACGGCAACAGCAATATGAATTTTGGAGGTGTCTGTCTTTAAAAATTTGAGGTCATTCAATTTTTACTGCATCAGATAAATGTTGATATTTAGACTAAAACAAATATTGAGGTTAAAAAGAGTCACCTATCTGCAGAAGCCATCTCAGTAATCTTGCAGATTTAAATCTTACAGGAAACTCTGCAGTGCCTAATAGCAGAGGATCTGAAGCTCTAGCTCCACAAAAGCCAGGTTATGTAAACTGCATTTGCTACATATGGCAAAAGAGATAGGGCCTTCCAATCAGCACTAGTACATACTAATTTTTGTCCTGAAAGAAGCTTAATTTGAAGAAATCTAATCTCTTACAGATAAGAGCATTTCATTCAACTTGCACACAGGACGCTGCTGCTCTGAAACGCTCCTTGGTTCAGGCAGAAAACCACTGGAGAGCCCGCAATTAAAACCATGGGAAGCATCAGCCCTCCTATGATCCGATGCTCTCTGTTGTGCAGAGAACGCTGGTTTCTTCGTTTCTCACTTTGCTTTTACAATAAACCCTGCTGCTGAGTGCTGCCGAGCAGATTTTTGCCAGTTCTGAGTGGTCCATCTCTTTGGGAGGGGAAAGGAACAGGTTTCCACTGCCAGGTCATCAGCACCGCAACCTCGTCCTGCCTCCTGCCTCCTCCTCCCCAGCATTCTCACCAGCCCAGCTGGGGTCAATATCCATCCTGTTCCACAAATCTGCCTGACAAAAACTGCCAGGTTACAGAGATAATGCTTTTTTTATGGCAAAAACAGCAAAACTGAGGATAATCTTGATCAACTTGAGCATGTGGTAGGCCCTGAGAGCAAAGGATCAGCAAACACGTCTCTGCTCAGCTAGCCCCACAATATTCGAGTCCTCTGAATTATACACAGCGTGTTATTTCTCAAAAGGCCAAAACAATCTGCTCCTAAAAGTGTAAAGTAGAAGTGCTCAACGTCCCTCTCTTCTGATTGCAGTGTGTGCAGTCCCGAGACAGACACGAATCTGAAATGACAACTGCTTTACCACTACTTGGAGGGTTGTTTTCTAGAAAAAAACACCAGCTTTCAGGCAACACTAAGGAATTCATCTGTGGAGTTTGTGGCACCAAATTAAGCTGCTAATAAAATGAGTACTTGAACAAACAGTCTTTATAAATTACAGCCCAAAGAAAAAATAAGTTCTACTTCACTGATGGAATAGTTCTGACTGACTGACTATTTAAGAGAAATATTATTTAAGAATATTATTTAGGAGAAATATATTTCATATTCCAGAGACTATTCTAAGTATTATCATCCCATAACTCTTGTGATCATCACTCTCCTCTTTCTTACATTAGCATATTTTATCTCATTTATTCTTTAGAGTTGATAGTTCTATCATCATTTTTGTATGCTTCCATACAGAACTATTCTATATATTCTTTTCCTAACTACTGAAAGAAAAAGGTGGCAAAAACTATTGGGAACAATTTTGATAGATTTTCCTCATGAATATAAGATGTTTTTTGAAAAAGTCTATCTCTTTGTGACTGAAACATCTGTGGAATAGATTCACTAAAAGTAAATGACTATTCAGTTGCTCTTGTGAAGTGTTTGGAATTAAAAAGTATATTACTTTACAAAAGACAATGGGGGAAAAAAAGATTGTTCAGTTTCCTATTTCTGCTTTTCCAACACTGGAATAGGATTTGTCTGAACCATCTAATCAACATATTGTGCCTAGCTTTATTAAATGCCATTCAAAAACTGTAAATTCCATTTACTAGCAAAAAAAAGAAATTGCTTTATGCAAAGCTTGCCTGTGAATTGAAGCTAAAATGTTCTACCTGAACCTTCGCTAAAGAAAGGGTGTTTCTCAAGCACCCAGAGCCGGTGCTTCCAGGATGTCCTGGTCCGAGCGCTCCAGCTGCTGCCTGGCAGGAGGCCGCGGAAGCGGCAGGACAGCGGCCAGCTTGAGTGCCCTGTTCCCCTCCAGCACCATGAATGGGCTCCCATCTTCTCCCTGGGGACTGTTGACACGCGCAGCCTCTGTCCACACCACACAGCTGAGCTGGCCATGACGAATGTAGAACAGTCCCCTCCTGTTTGCGAGGCACCTTGTGAGGCACGTGTAGACTTCGTATACACCTGAGGAGGATCCCGCGCCTCCACGGWTTGGAGTTTAATTGTGCCAACTATCAACTACTTCAGGGAGCAACTACTTCATTTTGGGGATGCAAAGCACTGCTCCAGACCCACCATCTAGCTGTTACCTACTGCTGCTCTAATGTCCGAGGACAGAGGGCAGCAGGATGAGACAGGCCGACCTCGCCTGGGCCAGATGGCGATGTCCTCCTCACAAAGGGATCCCTCGTCCACTGACCTAACAAAAGCTTGCAATACAATGTTGAAACCCCAGGCAATGAATCACTTGTTTAGAAAGAGAAAAGCCAGAGTGTTTCTGGAAGCTGAGGGTGAGGCCTGTAGCTCAGGGAGGGCGAGGAGCAGTCCRGGGCCTGCAGATGTGGCCGCCGGGGCACCGCGGCTCCTGCCGCTCACCTGCTCTCCCGGGAACGCGATTCCCTACGGACAAACTAACACCTCCCATAACACCCATTCATTGAAAGGTGTGACCAGGTTGCCTACTGATTGAAGTGATTATGAGTTTTTTAGAAGAACTTATCATTTCAAAGTTTTCTACCCGTGTCCTTGTGTCCTTGAACATCAGAGAGGCGAGCACAGACACACAGAGCTGCTCTGCCTACAAAGCTCCCGCTCCAGCCAGCTTGGTTTTCATGGAAAACTGCATTTATTTTTGCAGCTCAACCGTGGGAATTGATTCTTTCATGACTGACTCGATATAAACATGATCAATCCACACAAGCCATGCAGCAGTTGCCTGAGGGAGATGAGTGAATGATAAAAAGGTGTTTCTTTTTGCCTTTTTTTTTTTTTAAAGGAAACAACTTCAGTCATTTCCAAATCTGCTAGCAAAAGTTCAAAAATAAGCTATATGAAAGTATTATTTATACATTTATTTTAAAAGAATAAAAAGAGGGTTTATGAAGGAAGTATACCAAGCAGATTGATGAATTCAATAGCTTTCTGATATGGAGGGTTTTGCAGGGCCAGTTGCTAATTAATAGAGCAAGTTCTAAAAGGATTTTCCCCAATGATAGAAAGAAAAAATCATAGATGATGTATAGCAACAGCACAGAAGATTACTAAAAATCACAAATGTTGGAAGGACCTAAGTGCATCTTATTGCATCTAACCGCCAACTCTGTCCTAAACTAAGTGCATCTGTACATTGCACCCTGGAGCAGAGCAAATACGACCAATAAAAACTGCATGAACTAGCTACTTAATATTGCAAACCGAGAGGTTTAATAAAAGTGCTGATAAAGAATTAGAGATTAAAAAATATTCAAATATAACTAGTATTACAGGCTGCATTTTGAAAATTATAAGGGCGTCAGTAATTTTATAGGAAGTTCCTCAGCTTACTTTGCTAATCCAGTGAATAAAATGTCTTTTCTCAGAAAGACGCCACTGTTTGTACTAGGGGTTCTTACASCGTCAATATTCTGCCCACGTTAGTACTATGATTAACACAGTGATTTCATACTCCATGCAGGCAAAAGCTGGGTAGTCTCAATAATGCCTATGATAAAAGTAAATGTTGACCTTTTTAAATCTGCAGCATTATGTGTATCTGTATGACTTGAGTACATACAAACAGTAGTTGCCTTTAAAAAGTCATAATTTGCCAAGAGCTGTCACACAGTCTTCAAATAACCATTTTCCCCCAAATATTAAAAAAAGCTCTGCAGTGGTGCTGGATAAGTAGAAAGTACTTGCTTTTTTTTTTTAAAAATAGGTTCTTATATAGAAGTACACAGCAAGAAACCCATCAGCAACAGGGAGTACATGGTTATTCTCCATACCTTTTGCTAATTTTAAACATGCAAACCATTCCTTTCACCAAGTTAAACATTTTATTTAAACGCGATCTACTGAAGTGTTTTGATAATTTAAATTGTTCCCCAAGGATAAGGGAATGGATAGAAACGCCCACAAAGCATTCTAACTATGGGAGCTGCAGTTAATTTATCTGAATGCATACTCACTGCCCCTTGTCTTGCKTTCCCTTGACGATGGAGCTGTGGTCAAAGCCCCCCTCTCTGTCTCCCTCTGCACGACTGGAGCAGAGGAGGCAGGTGAAGGGCACAGCAAGGGTAGCCATGCAATAGCTGTCAGAAGACACCTAACTTCCAATTTAGGAGCTAAAACAAAAGCATGTTCTCAGATGATTATCTCCAAGCTGAGTATTACACTTAGGAAAAGAAAAAATGCATTTATCTGTTTTTCAAGCTGGTTGTAAAATGTCTCTCCTAGATTGTAGCTTGTAGCCTTAATCTTCTAGAAATAGTCAATCCACAAATTGAAGACATAGTGAAGAATTCTTGAAAGCAATTTAAACTCCTTTTTATTTGGTTGTTTGTTTTTCCAATTTAGGAACTCAAAATCAGAACTCAATCACAGCAGGTGAAATGCACACATTTCAGATACCTTTGATCCCTTTCTCTCTCCCATCAAACTTACTTTGGTCTCTCTCAGCAGAAACTGCAAATCACGCCCACTGAGTATACCATGGTTTTTCACGTAGCCAGGCATATGAACAGTGCTTGTCCCATGAACAGTTCCATGGACTTCCATATATGTGTGAATGATGTCCAGATAGGCCTTCTTATCCTGTAAAAACAATAACATGTTACATTGGTTTCAGTCCTCACACCTTTCAAACAGGAGCGATCTGTCAGAATTGGTTTTTGGAGAGGCCTCCTGTGCCAGAAAGGGAAGTTCCTCTCCCTTCATAGAGCTGCGCTCTTGTCAACTGTACCTAAGTATCTGACAAGCTCCATACAAATATTCATGTACCTGAAATATCAAAAGGATTTGGTAAGGAGTAATAAGAGACAACAAGAAGAAAACAGTAATGGATTTTGTTTTGCATGAAAATATATAAATACAAAAGAACCTGTGCAYTATCCTCACCCACAAACAAGAATTATTTTGATTTTCAATACACAGCAATATGTGTACACCAGCAATTTTAATGAAGTTCATTTAAAGGGCAAGTAGATCGGGAAAATTCTGCTGTTGCAAATCCTGAAGCAACAGGGTATCAGGCCCCGGGGAATAAATGTTTCTTTGCAAAGGATCTGTTAATACACATTCGAATATGCAGGGCATTTAATGACAGGTACCAAGTGGCTTCTAGCTTTAGCTTCCTCTGTGGTGACAGTGCTTGTGATGAGGTGGATTGCCAGCTCTGTTACTAAATCGCACTGTTCTGGAAGCTACACCCAAGACATATATATGTCTATACAGAGAATGTCCTGGGCTAAACACCACATAAAACAGCCAACAAACGRAGACAAAAGCTATTTGATGAGGCTATCTGATACCTGGAATACCCATGTACAGACTGTCAAGTAAATAATTTTCTTCTAGCCTAGAGGAGGCAGGAGGACAAGGATGAAAGAGCTACTGCAGTGTTCCAACAACACCTTGAGTCCACAGAAAACAAATGTTTTTGACTGAGACAACTTCAGTGTCTATCTCAGAAATCAATAACTTTCATACGGATGGATATTATTTATTCTCGTCCTCTCGATTCAAACATATTTTCTCAGAGTGGAAGGTGCAGAAAGGCAAGGTGCAAACCAGAAGCTTTTGCACATTTATTCCAGTGGATGCAGTACAAGGAACTGATATCCCAGAAAATAGCCGAGAGGGGTCTGTGTATAAACACAGAGGTCTGCAAAGTGAGTTTTTACATTCGAGTGCCCCTTGTAGCTGCTGATACAACTTTCACTTCATCAAATTGCCCAAATATCTCAACTACCACTTTTAGTTTCCAAAYAGATCAGATCGAGCATGAAAAGGTGAAGGGTTTTTTCTCTCCCCCATGACCATTTAGCAAACTAACTGGTGAGGTCCTGATTCCAAAGTCCTCTGTTTTTACAGTGTGCAGTGCTAAGCTCASGACACTCAGATTAACTCAAATTGTTTTTATGAAACCAGGAAAAATGCTTAGGAGGTCAGCTCATCATTGCAAGTAAACAAAAATCAAAATCAAACGTAGCACAAATGGCTGCTTGAAATGATGAGGCAGTAGAAAACATGAGCCACAGGATTGTYCTTTGTCCTCTATCTTTAAGTGAAATATTAACACTGTAAATAAAGAAGGAACATCAGCCCATCTCTCTACAAATGGCACCCTATCACTCTTTTACTTCCCTATTTTTAACCTTTAATTTATAGCATCATATTTTTTTTTATAGCTCATGCTACATTTTGTCTCCAGAAAAAGTTGCTTTGGGTAAATTATGTTTCACATACACCCTTTTAAATAGGGGTCTCCTGTCACAATCTTTGTTAAAACCATTAATTGAATCAGTAGCATCTTGCTGGCCACCTTTCCTGGAAAAGAAAATGCTGTGGAAGCCAGATGATTCCGGCTACTGTTAGGCTCAAAATTGTGCATTACATTATTGTATCACCTCAGTTTCAAAGATGAACATATATATAAACCATCCTCTCCTCTATAGCACCACTTACTTTCCACAAAATAGAGGATATTAGATTAAAAAGCAGCAGCAGCAGACGACCAAGATAGCACGAAAAGAGCAGACATCATTATTTATAGCGGCAGTTCTGGAGGGTGGATTTAGGTAACAAATACACGTAAGAAATTTTTCATAATAAATTCAAATTATATGAGCAGCTGTGTGACTGTATTTGCAATTCAACATCCAATCAATCAACACTATTTAGGAAAACATAGCAAAAACAGTGACAAAATGGTGCATTCTGAGCATTTCTGCAAGCACAAACAAAATAATAAATTAATTATCCAGAGCCATAATGGGGACCATTAATTAAGCATACAACTGACTTATTTCAAGATTGATAGTCTACAACCATAGATTAAAAAAAAAATAGCGTCCAAAGTAACATTGATTTTTCCATCCATAATATTTAGCAAAATAATGAGACACTTGCATGGTGGACATTCGCAGAAGACTGCGCCATCAAGGCTCTGCCCTCACAGAGCAAGACTTGGAGATAAACAGGCATGAATAAGGGAAACTATTTGTAAATGTTTCATGAATTGGTTTTGAAGCCACAGAGTAAAAACTGAGTAAAAAAAAAAAAAAAAAAAAAAAAAAAAAAAAAAAAAAAAAAAAAAAAAAAAAAAAAAAAAAAAAAAAAAAAAAAAAAAGCAACCCTCACATTTTTCATCAAATAAAGTTTTTAAAAAGCAGTTGGAAGCAACTGTAGCATCTTTCCTTTGTTTCTTCCACATAAAAAAATTGTCTTTATATCCTTCACAAGTCTTTCTCTCTCAAACAAACAAGATACTTGGAAAAAACAATCCATCTTTTATCCTTCTTCTAACCTAGTCAAAAGCTCTCACTTTCGTAATCATCTATAAAATATCAGAAAAACAACATTACCATTTTATGCCCTACAGAAATCTCACTAAAATGTGTCCTTTTGCTTTTCAGAAGGTCTTGAACTGACAAATTCCTCTTAGAAAAAGTGTAATTCCAGCTCATAAAAGTATGTATTTTAATAGTCCACTTCACATCTATGGTAAGATTGTCCATTCCAAACATTAGAAAATTTGAATGAAAGTGAGAGAATCTAAATATGGCATTTATAAGCAGAAAGGCTACAAGTAATCGAGCAATGGGGACAAATATATTATCAACATTCCTTCAGCTCTGTTAAGCTACTCCTGAGTTTGCCTGCTTAGGTGAGGATATAAGAACTCCTTTTCCTAAAACAGTTGACATTATGTCCCAATTTTTTAATTTCTCCAAAATAAATTCAAGGAGAAAAAAATACGGGCAAGAGGCTAATAACACCAACCCAGCAGTTTGGATCCATTCACGCTGTATCTGCTGCCCATATTGCGGATCGAGCCTTGCAGCAGGAAAATCCACCACATCAAAAAGGACCAATTATTTCTCCTCAGACTCCGAATGAAAGGGTACTAGTCATACAAGTCTTTTCTGAGGTATTTTTTCCAGCAGCAAGAATAAGCTTGCCATTCAGGAAAGACATTTTTGTTGATCGCTGACTGCAGAACTGTTATTACTCTGTGTCAGTTATTTCCACCTACTTTAAAAGGCTTCACGATGAGGCCTTTCTCCTCAAAGAAATCAAATGACAACAATCTGACAAGTCTTTCCCTAAGATAATATTGACAGGAAGGCACAGCCTGAAGGGCTGAAGCTTTAAGTTCAGTAGATGAAATTATAAATGTCATCAACAACTTCGTTCTCCCATCAGTTTGGCAGCCCGAGGTTATCTTTGATTTTCACAGTTTAGACCACTCAGATACCTTTGCAGAACCCTAGATATTCACTAGTGAAGGAAACCAAACCCTGGGGGTGCAGAGCTACAGGGCAATGAGGTTAGAGAAGAGCCCGAGCCAGCGGCCTAGCTGGCTTCAGCCCTGGTTTACGGGGCTGAAGGTCAGGCTGCCAAGTATGTGTAAAAACAGCCATCTGCTCAGACTCACCCCCTGTTCAGAAAGCCAGGATACAACAAGTGCATAAAACTTGACAAATGTTTTTCAGAAAAATAAGAATTACTGATATAGACCTTTGTGTATTTCCTAAACATGTGCTGATAACGCTACTGGTCCTAACATTTGGAGCAGTATTTGCCAGTGTCAAGGTAAGCAAAGCCCAGTGCAATAGAGCGTAGGACAATTATAACTCCAAAGGGAAACAGGACACAAATGAATATTCCGGTAATGTAGAAAAATCTCTCATTTAAAGCAACATCACACCTTCAAAAGCTCTTTAGATACCCCTAAGTAATGGAATTCCAGTTCTATGGAACAGACTGAAAGAGAGCACAAATGCTGGCAAATTCAACACTATACAGTGATAAATATAAATAAATAGTGATATATATCACTTTTGATATATATCACTTTATAGTAAATATATAGTGATGAGTCACTACAAACAGTAAATGTCTCTTGGAGATCTAATACAAAACACTTGAAATGTTAACTGTGGAGTACTTCATGAAGAACACTAAATTTAAAAAAGCATTTGGTGATGATATATTAATTACAGATTAGCAGAATTAACAGAAACTATTATGGCTAGGTAACCGTATTAATATAGAGTAAAAATATGCAATTCTTTCAAATTGTTAAGAGTTCTCTGGAGAAAGGAAACATGTATAGAAAAGAATAACTAAATCTGTGCAGTATACTTGATTTTCAAAGAAAAAAATCATTAAATGTTCTTAAATTTAAGTTTCTTTGGGAGAGAAGGGGATCACTCCCTAGAAGAAATAATAGGTAAAAGGGAATAGGGAAGTGACATGGTGTGGAGCTGATTCACGCCACACATTACTAGTAATGTAGTGGTAAAATAAAACCAACTTGAAAAAGCTCCTTTGTAACTTAAGAGACTGAGTGATTGGAAATAAAACAGCAGATAAATTCAATGTAAATAAATGTAAAGTCATGCAGGTGAGGAAAAACAATCCTAGCTTCACAAAGGAATGACAGACCTGAGCTCACTACTGCTGCTCAGGAATGAAGATTTTTCGTTATGATATGGAAAAAAGCAGGCYAGTAGTTCAAGGGACTATCATTGCACCTCCCTCCAAACACAGAGCCCTCTGTGTCCTTCAGTACTGTGTAGGTTTCTGGTCCTTCTCCACACGAACCTAAGAGATGTGGAAGGGGGCAACAAGAATCCAAGCTACAGAATAGAAGATAGAAGGCTTTCTATCACAAACTACAGAAATCTACAACCAATTCAGCTAGGATTCTTCAGCTTGGAAAAGGCAACTTGGCAGAATATAAAGGAGGTTTGCAAAAATACCATTGGCATAAGGCACGTGGAGAGCAACAAATCATTCCTAACCTTTCCGACGCAAGAGAGGCCCAAACAAAGCCTATAGGAGACAARTCTGGAAGAAAACAAGTGTTAATGTGACAAAGCTTGCTGTGGAGGCAACGAAGTCTGCACAGGTCCCACATTAGACAAATGCTTTGAGGCGCCATCCAACTGAGCTCTCCAAAGTTTGTCAACAGGCAGTTTATCAGTAGACAACTAGACTCAGGAAAAGTGACAACAGCCGGAGGGAGAGTGAACATGCAAGGGAAGCATTATGTAAACTTGCCATGCTCTTGCTCTTCCTTGAATGTCCATTTGCAGCCTTGCAGATACCTACCAAAACCTTTGTACCAAATATACATTATCATATACATAGTATTTTTTGCACATAAATAATCTTCATTCATTAAAAGTCTTCAGTATAAATTGGTGTTCTTTGCGAGCTGCTAGAATTCCTGCTCAGTTTCCCCTCCTGAACTTTAGCTATTTGAATACTTACTGCAGCTTTTCGTATATGAGGTTTTCTCCAGTGCTTTCTGCAATGCACTAAGGTTTTTGAAAGCTTTGCCTAATTCACTGCCATCACATGTTTGTATAAGGAATTCCCTGTCCTTTGAACATGAGTTTCCAGGACTAACAACGGGACAGACTTCTGCCCTGCAAGAGCTGAAGCAGATACTGCAGGGGTACAGGAGAAAGCAGGAAAGATCAAGGGAACAGAAACAGTTGGGTTATTTTTGTGGCAATCAAATAGCAGTACATGACTGTGTTAACTACTATTCTAAGATCTCACTAATTCATTTTGTAGGTGCAAAGTGCTGCAAAAAGAATAAAGAAGCAAACAGACCATCACTGGCCTGTCCCTTCTTTAAGGTGGTTCTTAAAAAGTTATTTCACAATAAGTGTTGAAGAAAAGTCCTCAAAAACGTACATGTAAGGCCATAGCACTGCAGCAAATTTGGAGGAAGGGACAACAAGAAGACATCAAGATGAGCTTGTGTGCCCTGACTGCCCGGAAGAGAAGGTTAAGGATTTTTCTTCTGCCTTCCCTTCTGTACCTTTTAGCTGCAAATGTGAAAGGAACCATTCAAAGAATGTTGCTGAAGATGAAGTGGAAAACACAGTCGTAAGGAAGGGGGAGGTATCACTGGCTGAAGACATCAATCCACCAGTTACAGGAATATCCTAGCAATTTACTTTCCCTGTGCAACACGGCATGGAATGGGGAAACCACATATATGCCAAGGACCTATGAAGTGGAGAGGTTCAGCAAGAACAATCTCGCTTGTGTAACTCCCTGTTAAGAACAAGCTAAAAAGTAATAATCTCCTATATCCAATTCTTCCAAACTTGTTATGCAGACATGTATATTACATATTCACGGCTATTTTCTGATTCAAGTAAAATTCTGTCTTCTCTTATGATATTCTCTTATGATATTCTGAATAAACAAGCACAGCAAATAATTTAAAATGAATCCTGACTCACTTTTTTTTTTAATCAAGAAGCGAAGGTAGAAAAAGCACAATAGTATAATGGGGAGTTGCATGAACAACAAAGAAAATACTTCTATTTGAACAGGAATGGAGAAGACATGAAAGGCTTCAAACATTCCCTTTTAATTGAAATGTTCTGTAATTAAAGCCAATTTTGATAATGGGCAGGATTATGGGTTTCACTCGCATTTTATTCATTCCATTTCACTCAGGCAGACAGAGGTCGCTAGTCATTAAGGACTGCCAGAAATCCCAGACAAAAACTCAAACCTTTGATTACCACAAACACATTCAAAGCCTGGCAAATGCTGTCTTTGACAGCTTACCTGTAAGGATAACCCTCAGAAATGCACTTAGTGCCTCCTGCTTGTACTCCTCAACCCACTTAAGGCTGATATAATCATCAGAGCAAAACAAGCAAGATGATCTGGGTTCTTGCAGTCTCTGCACCTTACATATTTCTTGATCTCCATCAAAACTTATCTGCACAYCCTCTCTGTGAAATGAGATTAATGCCACTGGTCTCAGGCCATGGGCTGACATCTTTCTCTATCCAGCAGAGTTGTCAGGAGAGCTCACTGTATTCCTCTCGCTCTTACTCATCATCTTCATACCTTACCCTCCTCAGATGATGKGGCAAGGCAGGATGCTGCCTGCGASCAATCCAAAACTCTCTCTAGCTGCAATAAAACAGGTTACTTCAAACAATTTAAACAAGTGGTGGAAATTGGCCAATTCTGCYCTGTTGTGCAGCATGTCAGCAGATCTGGGGATAGAGGGATTTCTAGCAAAGGCAAAATGAGAAATKATTTGAAATCTTTTTCTTTTCCTACAGGCCAAGCTGGATGCAGAAAAGGACAGAGGTCCATAACTGCACGAAACCTTGATGGCAGTTCTCTCTCTTGCTGTCGCCCTCTTAAGTGAAAAATAAAATAAAAAGATTACTCTGAACTGAGGCTCTGGTATCCTGTGTGTATCTTGGTTCTATTTCAGTTCTGAACTGTTTAAAATGAAATGAGTTACTTGTGATTCCCCTTAAAAGCCCCTCAGTCTGAGATTCAGAACATTCTCTCCTCCACACTGGGCTTCTCTTCTCTTAACCACTGATCAGAAGCAGCAGTGACACGTGTATTTTGTGGCAATTACACTTCTGTTAATTAGCAGTATCCAATAAAAAGGAAAAGGAGCAGGATAAATAGATTAGCCYGGGTTCAGTACAAGCCATAGTGGCAGATGAAAAGAGCATTAAACGAGGGAAAAGAAGGAAACATGAAATAAGCAAATTATGCAGACACAAGATTAGTTCAAGCTTTCTGTTGATGAGAAGAACTGCATTTTTATCGCTCTCAGCGAGACACTCCACACTGTCGCTGATGCAAAGCCTACCTGCARTGACTGTACCAGTGCACAGGAAGCTTGGCCATGCCAGGCTGCATGTTCCAGTTACGATGTGCTTGACAGTACAGGCATACAGTATACATTTTAATACGCCTAAATATTAACTCATACATCTTGGAAGAAAAAAAGGTAGGCGATATTTATAGAACAGGGCAGTGTCATGRAGAGTAGCACTTAATCATCTTGATATAAGTTCCCTCTGCTGAAAAGGGAATATGTGTAAYAAAGCATCCAGTGCTTCTTTTGGTGCTGGTATGGGTAATGTGTCCCTTGCTAGCATTCACATTTCAAGAAGATAGTGAACAATCTTGAGAAGGTTCCGAGAAAATAAACAAAATCCTGAGAACACAGAGGATTAAAAAGTACAATGCTTTTGGCAATTCAGTAGAGGCTTTTCAGAAATCTATGTATTCCTACAGGATAATAGAAACATTATCAATGCTGTAGACAAAGCACATAATTGATGCRAAGCATGAAAACAAAAGGTTTGACAATCTGAATGAGAAATAATGCAAAAATTTAAGAGTGAAGGCAATTACTTAAGAAATTCACCAGGGTAAACAGTGKGGTTTCCACTATGTGCCACTTAAAAATCCACAGTGGATATTCTTTTCCAAAAAGCCATGTCCTTGTCTGAATCAGCTCATGTGTATCCTGTGCATCATACAGAGCCTTGCACTAGACAGTTACAGGGCTCTCCTCAAGGCATATAAGCTATTAATTCTTATTGCTGAATTCATGCAGAATGAATAAACTGATAAAGACATATATGTAAGCTAAAAAATCATGGTGACTAAGTCACAACGTGGTTCTCAGTTCCAAGCACTACTCAGCAGGTGCTGATCCCTTCCTACCACCAGGCTGGAAGTCCAGATGCTCATTACAACTAACCATTCCTGAGAGGCTGCTAACACAACCAGGAACTGGAAGTACAAGAGCCTCAGCCAGAAGACAACTTGGATTCGGGATTCCAGCTCTATTCCAGGATTCAGCAGACAGAAGAACAGACTAAGGCAACTGGGAGATACTACATCATTCTACAACACAAACTAAACATGCACTCCTCCACATTCCCATTACTTTAAACAGTTTCTACATTTTCAAATATTTTTAGCAATGTAAAAATTTTTATTATTTTAGAGAGACAAAATAAGCCTCCTAATTATTTGTATGTAAATCAAGCCCTTTGTCAAAAGGAGGGAAACGGTATTTAGCTCTTGAAATACCATGCACTTATTTTTTGCAGCTTTTCATCTGTCAGTGAAGAATGCTTTAAAAAAAAAAAAAAAAGGCAAAGCATCCAACTCAATCAAGGCAGACAGTTGTTTCCTCATAAAAAGGCTCCAAGATGTTTAGCATAATTCTATAAATATGAATATTAAAAACAACTCCACAAACTTCATAGATTTTCTTAAAGTATCCTTGCTCTTGAAATCTATAAGTCATGACTGTGACTCATTATATTGATTAGTATACATTTGACCACGTATACAATGATGGAACACTCACCTTCCAGAAGTTATCCACTTTGCCATAAACTAGAGACTGATTCTGCCTTTTGATGTCATTAATGTGCTTAATGTCACTAGAATTCAGATGCTGCTCCACCACAAATCCAAGGAAGCTGTTATCCGGAGTATGAGCTGTAAGAAATAGAGCATACTCAAAATCATTTAAAGTATCACTTAATGCTATAAAAGTGTGGCTGTTGTCAGAAAAGTAGTTAAAAAAACCATAATATTCAACAGATCACTTCTTTACATACTGACTGTGCTACACATTTGCTTGCTATGTTATTATTAATAACTCTTATTAACTTTAAGTCCTGCTGCACACATCTACTGAAGTAAGCAGTTATTTTCTGGCTCATTTCCTGTCTACAATAGAGATTCTGTATCTGGATCTAGGCCAATGATAATGATTTTCTGTGCGCTCAGCTTTATTATTGGAGATAAGAGAACCAGAGGGAATCCAGCTTGACAATCTCAGAGAGCACAGTACCAACAGTTAGTTAGAAAAAAAACCCCAAATGCATACATACATATGCTTTAAAATAAAGCTGTAGGTTGATGAAGAGCAGTATAGAATACTATCAGTAGCAGCTGATGGGGTTCATTTCAGATATTGAAAAGGCTAACCTCAAACATACAACTCATTATGCATCCACCTTAATTACTAGCCTATAAAATCATATAAAACAAGAAATCAAAATACAGTTTTTGGATATCTGTGTGTGAATTRAGCATCATCATAAAATACTAAAAAGGGCGATGGCTAAAGAGGTCAACAAAAGTTCTGCATTAATGCAGTTCCCAGACATAACAAGTGCATGCAAAGGATATGCAGTTTGCTCTGAAGCCATACCTGCTGTGTAAAAACTGCCCCACARCGTGTGGAGGGGTTTACACCTACCTAGAGAGTGTTATTGCCTGCACTGGAATATGCACCAATAAATACTAGCAACTCCTTCAGAAGCCTCCCCTTTTTTAATCAAGTGTGCTTGGGAAAGTGAAAAACAAAAGCAGCAAAAGTAAACCTCCCTCCTCTGCCTCCAAGGAGACGTGACACATGCYGTGCTAAAGCTATGTTCCAGGATATCTCCAAGAAAAAAAAAAAATCTATTGCACTTAGGAATTCTTTTTCTTGGCAGTTGTTGAAAATCARCCAGGTGGATAATGCAGGAGAACAGAGAAATCACACACAGAGCACGTTCTCCTCTGTCATTAAATTTAGTCTCTCTAATGACAATTCCTCTTTTTCACCAAAAAATCYTCAGCAACAGCCAGGCCCTCTCTCAGATCCAGGGCACTGGCAGGAAGACTCGGAGAACATGGTGAAGCCCTTTGCTAACACATCACCAGGTCGGACATGGCTTGCTTGCTGCTCACTAAACATCTGCAGCCCTTATAAAGACAGTCCTCAAAACACAGTAAGAGTCTGTGGATCTTGGGAAGCTGTTCAGGGTTCCAGTCTAGGATAAAATCCTTACTGATGCATAACAGACTTTTTAATCATAACCCAATAAAGATTGTGCTACCTCTGCAACAGAKGGATGGAAATTAAATCACAAAACATAATGACTTTTTTGCAACTAGTACAAAAAGAAGAAAGATCCTTGAAAAAAATCTATTACACTGTAATCACACTTCAGAATAAGTTTCCTTGCTACTTTTCCTGCAGGGGAGAAAATAGTCATTTCTATTGGTAGTCATTTCTAGCATCGAAAACCTGAAATGGTTATTTCTTCAAGTTCCAACACGGTCTTACTGTTTTGATAATTCATTATRACCTGATTTGCTCTGAACAAGAATGTGGAATATCTATCTACGTAACAGTCACCTGTAACAGAGGTGACACAACAGAGAATTTCTTTATTGGAAAAGTTACCTTCTTGCACACCCCATGGAGCAGGGTTGAGGACAGCAMCCTCAGAGCACAGAGCTGGGCCATGGTCCAGCCTGGGCACCTTGGGTGCTATTGGGGGCAGGACCTCACACACACATTTCTGAACAACTGGGCTGCTTTAGCACAGCACAGTCAAATCCATCTTCCAGCWATATTAGCAAATATTAGCTATGGTCCAGGAAGTAAAAGGCAATTTCTGTGGATGTGGAACACATTCTGTGGCTGGTCTTTTACCATCCAGGCAAAAACTGTGTAAGCCACATTTCCAAGCCACATTTCATAACCCTGCTTTTTGTTACCTGCTTTTAAACAAGTGTGAATGCAGTCTTTTATCTGCTGAACAACCTCCACTTATATTTCTCTGGAAAAACTCGCACAGAAAATGTTGACAGACAAAATACACCTCTTCCAAGAATTTTATAGAGCAACTCAATCCACAGGTGTGTCAACCAGGCATCGGTTTGTGTATCCCTCTGTTATGCAAAGTGAAAAGTCTAAAAGACTTGTGAGGTCTGTTCAGAGAGAAGTGTACTTGCCCTGACCTTGGTTTTAGATACAAAATCCCATCAAACTTCGTGGATCATGCTGGGCACCATCAAGAGTTTCTTTATAGACTTAGCCCGAGAGGCTGCTGCATAGAACACACACTTTCCTTGTCCCTAAACATCACTCTCCTCTAATTATGTGTCTTTTTGCAGTGAACCTTTTTGCACCTTCTAGAATAACTAAGTCTATAAAGCCAAAGAAGGCCAGAGTAGGTCACTGAAAACATTTCATCAGCCTCAATTCATACACAATTCTGGGACTTTTTTTTTTTTTGCATTTCTGTTTTAATTCTTCTATTTGGAAGATGTTTAACGATTTTTCAAAAACGCAGAGCAATAATGAAAGACACTAATCCACTTTTGAATTGTCCAATTATTTAGTTTCTCTCACATTCTAATTTTTCACTGGCTTTGTAGCTTACTGGGATAAAAATCTGCATCAGTTCACTTCAGGATAAATTCCAACCAAAGGAAAAAGTTAGATGATAATCTTGACAGTATCTGCCAAAAAATCACGGAGACAAAAAATCATTTTTGCTGAGTACCAGTTTATGAATCTTAAAAATAAAGAAATAGAAAAGGAATTGGGCTGCCTGGCTGTTGGGAGAAAAACGGTAGAAATGCAACAACGCAATCATAATCTTCTGTTTAGTATGTCTACATGTAATAACCATGCAGTTTATTAAAATGTGATCACGCTAGCAAGTGTCTCTAAAACCTGTCACACAGTGGAAAAATAGAAAAGTCAAAAGTAAGAAAAGTGAACTCAGAGACACTCGAAGGAAATGTCTCAACGTTTCTGTYGGTATCCTGAGATGCCTACAGGATACCTTCCTTGCCATTACTTACAGTAATCTCATATTGTGCTCTTCTGATCTCTGAATTAAATTACTACGGAGAATTGTAGAAAWTACAAGAACTTATAAACCAGCCTTTAATAATACAAACAATTAAACAGTCTTCTCATTCAGAACATTCTGTTCTCAAGTGYGAAATTATTTTTGACTCCAGGGATACTTACGGAACATCGTATAAAACTGCTGTGGATTCAGGTTCCATTTTCCCCAAGGTGTCTTGTGGCCTTTAGATTGGGCATAATGGGCATGGTTAAACTCTGGTTCCGTTCCAAAGGAATCCAGGACTCTCAACATGCACCTGAAAGAAAAGAAAAAACCCTCTAGGTATATACATACAAATATAAATGAATACCYGTGGTTACAATAATTAGTAAGATTTGTCTTGTTTGGGTTTGTAACTATGCATGATGCTTAAAATTCAGTGACTTTTTAATTTGAAGTGTTTCTGTTCATGTACCATTCACAAAGACATTTTAAAGATCAGAAAGTTCAAGGATATATCAGACATTTAAATAGCAACCCTGGAGCTGATTTTGGGATTCTTTGTTCCTACGGAAACAAGCCATGCTTGAAAACCTTAAGTAGAGGTTCTCGGAACGCTACAGTGATAATCTTCATTTCTGAAGCTCTGCAGGAGAATTCAGACACAAAAAGGAGCACTCGCCTTCATCCATTTCCTACTGTTCTCATGCACAACTACAAAGTCACTGCGGCAGCCAAGGGTCATGTGCCAAGAAGATCAGAGCTCTGTCTTCAGAAAACTGTATTTTGTCTTGCAGCTCTTACTTTTGGGTCAGTTAGACCTATTGTGGAAGTACTGAAGAGTTTAATTTGCTAAACACTTTCAGTCAGACAGGACCTTTATTTGTTTTTGAATTGTTTTATAATGCTTCTGAAGAAACAATACAGAGGCCAAATGTCTAGAACAGCCTGATCTAAAAACTGAAGGCCTAGCAGTGGATTATGAAAGGACTAGATAAGCAACTCACACTAAATCCTTTACTTGAAGTCCTATTAATCCCTTATTAATTCCTTCAAACATAATTTTTTATTTACTGATGACTTGTTCCTTCCAACAAGGGTCTAGAAGACATGAAAGTTGACAAAATTCTCAACACAAACAGCAGGCTCGCTGCAGCAAGCAGGTTCTTGAACTGATGGTCCAACACCAGAGATCCTATAACTTTTAATATTCCTTAGAAATTTCCTTGGTGGCCATTATACTGACCACTAGTTTCACTGTAAGGGATCTGCGCTACATGTATTCCAAGTTTTTGTCACTACCATTTTTCCACCTCCACAAGCAAAATCTGGGGAAGAGATTTACATAGRATGTGCAGGGTCATGTATCACATTGCACTAGGCTATGAAGACATGAACTCTATCACTACAAAACATATCATTGGGCTTGTATGTGCTAAGAGAGTCACATGGGTGACAGGAAAGGGAGAGAATTGGAAAAGCTCCTATTAAAAATGATTGTATTTCTTAGCCTTCAAAATTTCCCTTGCTTCAAACCCATAGACATTYTCTTTACTAAGACATTATTTTTGTGGCTTCAAAATGTAAAAAAAACTTAGCCCCAAAGATACACTTACAGACTTTTTATCTATTGTTTCGTTCATTTAGGTATCAGTTAAATGGAAAAAAAGAAAAAAAGGAAGAAAAAAAGAGCCTTAAAAACTTTTAAACTTCAGTATGAAATGCCACCTTTGTATTTGAGAATACAAGAGAGCAAATTTACTTAATCTCTATGAAGATCTTTCAAGAAAAATCAACGCAAAATATACGTTACATTATGATTCACCAAGCAAAGGAGCTGACAGATCAGTTTCTGTGTTGTGTAATCCAATGTTTTATGTCAACTATTCTCAGGGAAAATATTTTACAACTGTGGCAATGATCTCGGCATCATACAAAATACTCCAGCAGGACCAAAACAGCTTCTGCAGTGATGAATCAGAGAGTAATAAAAGCCCTCATTTCTTGGCTGGCCTTAAAACAGAAATCCTAACAAATACACAGCTTTTGGCCAGGTATATGAGTGTAGACAAATGAGAAAATTGGCACTAGGTAGTGAAAACCTGCAAAACTACTGGAATTCATCATGTATATAAGAAGCATTAAGTTGCATGCTATCATCTCCACATGCTTTGCTTCCTCTCYGATTTTTGCCCTGCATTGAGATATAAGATGTGTAGCTTACTGGCCATAAGGATRTAGGTAACTACATGCAAGAGACACTGAGTCTCTGAAGCAGCAAGGCAGGAAACACGAGGGAAGCTGCAAAGGGCACCAAGTGAAACCAGGAAGCAGGGGAAACAAAGCACATGTTTGAACGACCRGGGCATGAAGTAAGTCAGAAAGATAAGAGAAAAAGATCAGAGCAGAAAGCCCATGGGCAGAAAGCATATGAGACATCAAAAGTTTAAACTGAGGAACTGAGGAACCCCTCMAATGATGCAGAAAAGTAGGGCAGTACCGTATTCTCTTTTTATTTCACRTGGCTATTTAAATCTTTTCAAATTTAACCATTTAACATATCATATTTTAGTATTTCTAAAGTGAACTCTTTATTTTAAATCCAAATGTCAATTCAGTGGGATTTTTACTTCAGTTTTTCRCTCAGTTTCCCCTTCCATCCCAGGATGTCACCCTGCTTCAGTGGGGAAGTTGCAGAGAATTACAGTGTGCCTTGGAACTGGTGCCAGCCTGGTAAGACTGTTCAATGACATGCTTGGCTGAATCAAAACAGATTTAAATTAAAAACCAGACAGTCAAATATCTTCCCTGTAAAAATGCTAGACTGAGCCATATTTAAATGTTAAAAAATAGCTAAAATACTGAGAACTRGTGTGTGAATGTGTGTGTAATGACCAATGAGTCACAAACTGCTTATATGAAAATCCACATTATTTTTTTTTTATTCTAACATACTACAAATGAAAACATTGAAGTTTATAAGAAAAACAGACAAAAGTAACCCAAGATTAGCGCTGTCCTTAAAGTAAGTGATTTTCCAGAAGCCTTGGACAGAAGCACAGTCTTAACTRGGCAGCCTCCGTGGCCGTGCACGTAACTTCTAGGCAACTCTGTACTTGATTTTCAAATGTAAAAACTTAGAAAGTAGCCTAAAACAGATATATTCTACATATAAGAACATATAAGAAGCAGGAAGGTTGCTCATTTTTCATGATACCCATCATGTACATTTCTTTCAAAAATAAACCCAGGGAGATTTTTGGCATATGGGCATGAGTCACTCCTAGAAAGACTGTAAAAAAAGGAAAAAGAAAAAAAAAAAAAAAAGAAAAAATACCAGATTCTTATGTACTGTATGGAGGATGCAGGTGCTAGGAAAGGCGATGAGCTGTACTTCCCAAACTATATTAAGCCACTGATTTTTATTTTTCCTTGACAAGATCCTCCAGATTTTTTATGGTCCTGTTGCTTCACTGCAAATAAATTACTCTCAAACTTCCAGACTTCAGAGCTGAAATATGCAGYAATTCTACACAGTCCTCTGTTTGAAAGCAAGGTGCACTCCAAAAATGAGGTCTGTTTTGGGAGCACTCACGCTATTACAGCGCCAACGAGACTACAGAAAAAAAATACAAACTGCCCAGAGTCATTGGTGCTACAAACTTCAAGCAGATAAAAGAGTATTTTGGTCGTTCAGAAACAGTCACCTCTCACAGCAGCAGGGTCACTCTTTTTTGAGCAAGCAGTTCTAGAAACCTGACTTGCAATCACCAGCAATTTCCTCCAGGCTCGACTTCTCTCACAAAGAATCCATGGCACTTAGTACCAAAGGGCCTCTCTTGAAGGCAGTTTTATTCCACCACGCYATTCCAATATGAAGTCAGCAAATAATAAATTTTAATTTATTTACATTTGAGTCTGGCCTGCATAAAACTGAGCTAATCAGTATGTTTGCTGAAAAAGTATCAGGCATAAAGGAAAGCACATCTCTCAAGAGAAGAATTATTCCTATTGACATTAAATATTACTGAGGGAAGCAAAGTTGGTAAAGAACTAGCTAGAAAGGCAGCTCTATTTATGATATTGGTTTTTTTTTTCTGGAATTAAATCAATAAAATAAGTAAACAGTGGGTTTTTTGTACTGGACTTCCTCAGTTTAATTTGCAAATTCTTATTACTGTCACCAAGTTTATGAGGTAACTCATGATGCTGAGAAGAAAAATCACTGCAGGAGGATTCTTGCAAGGAGACAGCTTGCATGAAGCTGTGCCTTAGTTTTTCTGCTATAGTCAATTCTGATAAAGTCTCTGCAAGAACACTGGATCCAGCTTTGCACCCTGAACTTCAAGAACAGTATCAACTAATTGAAGATAATCCATCTAGGTGCAACAAGTGGGATCAGAGATCTACAAAGCATGATCTCTAAGGAGCAATCCAAGACCCTGAATTTGTGTGTTTTGACATCAAAATAGAAGTACTATAGAAATTGTTCTAAAGGTTGGTAGAGAAATGGAATATGTATTTTTAAGACCCTTGTGGGAGCAAGTAATAACGGGCTTAAACTGCAGTTTGCAAGAAATCTGGCCAAGAAAAACATTTTAAAGGAAAAGTTAAACAGTGTAAAACAATGGCCAGGGAGAGCTTTTGAAGTCTTGTACAAAAGATTCAGCAAACATCTCTCAAGAAGAACAAACACAGCTGATAACTCTTTTCAGCAGGGATATGGGCTAGATAAGGTCCTTTCAACTCCTAGAAATCTAATGCTGTGAAGAAAAAAAGGGCATCACGTCTGCTTTTTTTTTTTCTCCTTCTTCTTCAAAAGTCTAACAAAACCTCCTATACCCCATAAAGCATTTGTTTAGAGCTAAATTTAATTTTACTCCCTTAAACCAGAAAAAGTCAGTCATTACCACAAATTAGAAATCAATGAAAACTAGATTGACAGTTTAAAATCTAATGATTTAAAAATAAGCAAGAAAAATTGAACAACTAATTGAATAATCTCAGGTCATGGCATTCCATATTTTCATTACAGAACATAAAGCTAAGGGAAAGAAACATTCTCAATATATTTTATACCCTTCTGACAATATTGCATGTGACCACCTACTGGCAGTTACATCTGGCAGACAGACAACCAAGTGTAGCTCGGTAGAAAATAGGATTAGATTTATTAGCAGGCTGCTAAAACAAAACATCCATTTATTTCTTTGTTTCAGAAAAGAGACTAAGAGTAATCTCATCTGCAATGTCGATCATAGTAAAATTACACTGAAGAGATGAATTGCTCTAGAACATCCTGAGGTAGGGACAATTTTTTTTTTTTTCTGCCTTCAGAGGACACCTTCTGAAACCTGCTAAAAAGTAGGATTGGGACATCACCAATTTGACTAGGTACAGAAAAACCAAAGCCAGTGAGTTAAGATTTCTTTCCATTTGCTGTAGACTTATGTTAGAAAAACATGTGAGGCTTGCTGATTTATGGCTACTGACAAAAAAGAAATGAATCTGGAAAACTGCATTCAAAAGGAAGGTTATACCAAATTATTTCTACTGAGTAGAATTTCTACTGAGTAGGTGATATCTACTTTATTTCTCCATCTTCTCTTCCTAACCAAAGGAGGCTTGTAGCTTATATAACCAACAACTGCAATGACCAGCAGGTTTATTTTTCAGTCCTATCCCTGAAGATGAGTCCCTCTCAGCATTTTATAGGAAAGGACAGAAACTGTGACAATTAATTACTACCCATTATAACAGACACACTGCCACAGCCATCACTTTGCATTTCWGTAAGACTACAAGCAATGACTTACACGTAGTATTGCAACTAAAAAACTGTATCTTTCACTTCATCTAAAACACAGGGGAAAAGCTGGGAAGGGGGATAACAAAGAAAGGGGAAAAGAAAACAATGACGATTCAACATGATAATGTAATATAATAGTTTAAAACTACTTGAAAATACTATCATGTATATACTATCATGTATCTGTACATACTATCATGTATCAATACTATCATGTATCTGTACCACTGTCTTCCAAATTAGGCAGAGGGAGAGATGGATGGTATGTAACAGACAGAGATACATTTTACTTTCAAATAAATACACTTTCATAAAGATGTACTCACCTTGGTATTTTGTATCCTTTTGTATTTCACCTACTGTTCAAAACAGGCTCTTTAACAAAGCAAATGAGTGTCATACTTACTGGTAATGCACCCACGATGGACCAAGAGTCTTCTTAAACTGAGTGAGTCCCACGATATCAATGTAAATGAGTTCTACAACTTTATCCCCCTGCGTAGGGCAGCCAGATCTGTTACCTACAACCTTTTTCATAATTCTAAACAAACAAACAAAAAGAAGGGAGGAATATGTGAAAGTATTACTTTCCAAATAGCTTGAAGTCATGCTAAAATATTATTTATAGTGATAATTCACCTTTGAAAAAAAAACTGACCCCTATAAGTGCATTTAAATGCAAAAGACCTCCAGCATTTGCTAAAGAACTGCTCGTGTATGAATAAGATGATGATTTTCAGTTAAAAACCTCATCCAGTCTAAACAAAAGCACAATATAATTGAAATGTTAAAAAGAATATATTTTTGAATGATCTGAAATAATTTCTGACTTATACTGTCAGCTTTATGATACAAAACCTCTCTATAAGATGATGCAGTCGTATTTTCTATAAAAATGAGAGTTATCTAAAAAGGTAGAAGCTTAAAACAGATATATTGTACAGGACTAATAAGCAAGACAAAGACAATGGAGGTTGAAATTCAACCAAACATAAACAAATAACTTTGTCAAAAGTAATATGCTTAAAGGATTTACATTTTTAATTTAAAACTAGATACCGAGTGAAGAACATCAGAAACTGAAGAGCAGCAGCACAATTAGGCTGCTCTAACAGCTCTTACTGCACCTGCTTAAATACTCATTATGTTGCTTAGTTTGAATTTTCCAGCACTCATAGGAACCTGAAGCTACAGTGAAAACATTATCCTTTTCATACCATATATATTTAGCTCATAAAAATAATCTCTTTGTCTTTTTAGTAAACTCTCACTTTCATATTACGCTTTAAGAAATTATACCCTGAGCTAATAGAGGCCTCAAGTGTTTGCAATATTTTTGTATTCTGGTTTCAAAATTGAAAGTAATCTCCTTACTCCTTGAGCTCTGCCAGTGAGGCTGAAATCCTGATGTCATGTCCCAAAAGGTAGAGAGATGTGATTAGATCACTCCACTGGACCAGTTCACCAAGTGGGCCACCACTAAATGCATTCTCTGCAATCTTGAATCCTGATTCTTTTGTCAGAAGTCCCAAATGAACGAGAATCTGAAAAAGAAAGTCGTACGTGAGATTCTGGACCTTAAACATGCAACTAGGACATCCCTCTGCGTTTTCTCTTAAGTATCATATGTGGCCAGCTCTCTCACCCACCAAGAAAATAGGGCATACAAGAAAACCCTTATTGTGAAACGTGACATAATTCTACAACAGTAATTTTAAGAATGTTTTCATTCCTTTGGACTATTATACACCACTAGCTCAGTAAGCAAACAAAACCAAAACATCACAAAAGGAGTCACAAAATGAATTGTTACACTGCATAGAAGGTGGTGATTCAATACGTACATCACTTCTATTCTCATCTAGGGTATCCTTGCTCATGCTACAAGACAGAGCAGGTCAGGCTATGCTGCTGCAAACAAGCCATTATGAACTCAGAAAGACTACACAGGAGCACCAGGGCTTTCCCAGCCCCTTCTCTTCCCCGCAGTGGAGAGAGTTTTCTCCAAGTTCCTTGAAGTCCGTGCTGCCTTTGTAACACTGCACACAAGCTGGGCTCCAAACACAACTTGCCTCATGCCTGGCCTGCTGGATATTAATGTTGATACACACAGTGTATATACCTTTTTCTTTCGCTCTAAAGGGACATCCAAAACCCATTTTATTCTAACCTTGTCCAGCTCTCAGGATAGTATTGGCCATGTGAAAATGAAATTACACTTTACAGAGCAACTTTAGATGGGTTTTAACAAGAAAAAAGCAGTAGACATTAAAGCATCCTATCAAAACCGTCTGTGCAGGACAGTACTGCTTCTGTTTATCCTTGAGTTTATTTGTTCCCTGATATTCCTTTAATATGAAAAGGCTGTATGGCTGTTTGAAAGAGGAGGATTGCTCCCTGAGAGGGGTTGAGCCTACTCAAGCAGAGCTAGTCTAGTGTGTGACAGCAGGAAAACAGGACACTGAGAATCCTGAGCTGGGAGCCAAGCAGCAGCCAGCCAGGCTTAAGAAAAACTGGAAACAACTGTGCTCAGAGCTGGCTCCAGTAAAGCACAAGGCAGGAAGTGGAACAGTTGTGTTTAGAACTTGCTGCTTTTGTTTTTGTTTTATTTTGCTTAGTGGAAGTTACTTTAGAAAAAAAAGGATTTTTAAAATTCAAATAAAACTTTGAGTTCAAGAGTCTTGTCACCTTTAACTTGGACTCATACAGGTACAAACATGAACTTTTAGACATATTTGATATTTCTACTCCAAAGTTCCTTTTGGAAAAAGGACACCTAAAGGAGCATGCATGGTTGTATGTGTCGGGATAGGAAAAAATTGTTTTAAGTTACCTTTTTTCGTTTTCTCTTCTCCAAATTTTGTTTTTCTGCAAGTGATTTAATTGATTCAATCCAGGCATCAGCCATCCGACTGATGCGTAACATCATCCACCGGAATTCCTCATGCCTTGACATCATTTTGTAGAGATAATCAAAGTTTACACGAATTTCAGCCTTCAAGTAAAGCATTAAAAAAAGGAAAAATACATAATTTATTGTTTAAACAGTGTCCTTTCCAGAAGTGACAAAGCTTCCTAATTGAGAACTGTGTTTTACATTCCTCTATTTAAGAAAAAAAAACAAACAAACAAACAAACAAAAAAAAGGTTCCTTACGCTAAAGTCAAACTTTTAGTTAAGAAATTCTTCTCTAGAAATTTCTAAGCTACACTCATTACAGCTTTTTTTTCCACTAGCATGAGGTAGTCCCCCTAGAATACAAGATTTTGATTTGATCACATGTTTGCGAAATGAGGTTAAAGTATCTCTGAAACACAATATAAATTCAGAAAAATCCACCACAGACACCACACACATCATGAAACTTCATGAGTCTGCTATAATACTATTAAGATAAAATAGTGCAACTTTAAAAAAAGAAAAACCCACATTCTATTAAAGCTGGATTGATCTAAGAACAATGAGTGCTAAAAGATGAGACAGATAGTATCTAAATTAGATAAGCAATGTTCAAATATAAGTTTTAATGCTATTTACCATTGCTTTTTGATCAGCTTCTTCATTAGGATTTTTTGCTCTCCAAGGTAAACGAGGACACCAATTTTCAACCTGTAAAAAATGAAAGGAAAAATCAACTATTCTGTTCTAATTCCAACTGATCTATCAAACCCTTTCATTTCCTTTATATTTCACCTTTTTAGGCTTGAATAAGGCACTAGATTAGTAAATCACTGCAAGTAGAGGATAAAGCCATTTTTTGCAATCTATATTCTAAGAAAAGCCTAAGAGACTTTTTGCGATTCAATACAATTTTAACCTTACAATTTGCAACCAAAAGTAGCATTTAGACATTCATTCATGACAATGAATACTGGAGATAAATGCCTTTCAAGACATCAGTCATGTCTTAAATTCTATAAATATGGTTTCTAAATAGCCTTGTTTTCAAAATGCCATGAGCTTTTCATGCCTCCAATTATTGAAATATAATATATATCTTGCAGCATTTCCTACTCCCTTCATAAGGTACTTTTTTATAAAAGGCATAGGCTACTGAAAACGAAGGGTCAGAGTTTGTAGATTTGCTTTCTCAGTATTCTAGACAAAAAATTCTAAGAAAGAAGGCAAAGAAGTGAGAATATCCTCTCTGGAAGGTTCTTAAAAATAATAAAACCCATAAAAAAACAATAATTCCTAGAGAATAATTACATGCTACTGTAATATTTCTAACATTGCTTGCTAAAAAAAAAAAAAAAAAAAAAAAAAAAAAAAAAAAAAGACCCCTTGGAACTAGCATGACCATGCAAGCCAAAACAATTTGGGTGATGATAGGAACAGCACTCGGAAGAACCTGAACTACTGGCTCTCGTTGACCGCCTTCTACATGAAAAAAAAAAAAAAAAAAAAAAAAAACCTACAATAAATATTTATGGTAGGAAATAGCATATGATAGAAGTCCCAGAAAGTTCCTGCCCTCTCCTTTCCTCTAGGAATCTCAGTGCTTTTGTAGAAGTTTAATTTAACCTTTGTCTTAAGAAACTGGTCCATTCAATATTGGAAAGAAGGAATGTCTCTGTTGGAGGTCAGTGCGTGCAAGGGCAATGCAAACACAAGTGGACAATGAAAAGAGAGAAAATCAAAAATTTACAGGTCAGCTAAGATATCCCATTGCTACCAATTAAGTTCACAACTAGAATCAGGAAGCAGAATGGTCCTATGATGGTCCCTCCAGTCACAGACATGTTAAGACACAATTTTAGCTTAATTACACTACAACAAGCCTAAGATATTAGGCACCAAAAGCTTAACCATACCAAATGATTGCCTGGAAGGCCAATCCCATGAATTTTTTTTTTTTTAATAGCTTCAATAGAAGAATTATACACAAACACTAATTTAAGTGCTAGGATTTAAGCTAACAGTATTTCAAAGCAGTGACCTGATCAACCTTGTTTGAAACGAGGCTCTTCACTAGTCTCCAGCTCCATAAAAACACTAGAAATTGTAGCAATTAATAGGCATCACTAACTAGTATGATYTGAGGAATCACTTAAGAAAAGCACCGCAAGCCCCATCCTACAATCCATGCACAATCCCAATTCTTTTTTTTTTCCTCAGTAGTATGAATAATGTTGAATCTATAGGAAAGTGTTTTGAACATTAAAATTAATCTGGATTAAGATGTGACATTTCAAGTACTGCTCTACATCCCTCTTTCCTGGCTTCACGTATTTCATGTTGCACAATCATGAATCCTAGAGGAATAAAATATTTTTAGAGCTACGAAGGCCAGCTAGCAGCATGTCTCAGTGATATAAAAACAAATATAGCTTTCTGTGCTTGCAGAAATATTCCCTACGGTCTAAATTACAGTAATTGAAGCCCCAAATAAAAATTCCAAGAGTGACTATACATAGTTAGTCTAGAATTCACTTTTTCTTATTGATGTATTAGTCAATTCCTCGTTTCATTTGCAAGACCAACATAATTCACTGAGGATTTTTAAATGCATATTCTCTAAGTGTGTCAGCTGTTTCATATTTTTTCCAGACTGATAAATGCAATAGGGAAAATGCATATAGTGTTCTCTTACAGAGGGGAAGGATTGTGCTGTCYTTCTCAGATTGAAGGCCAGTGGCTCAGAACAGTTAAATGTCCCCATAAAAACTTACGAGAGCACCTGGAAAGCAAAGATGAGGAATACAGACCCAGCATACAGKAAGGAGGGGCAATAATGAGAAAAATGGTATTAAATTAAATTTAGTGACTCAAGGGAAAGCAAGGATGAGGAAGCAGAATGAAGCTGACAAATAAGGASTATTTTATTAGCAAAGTTCAGGTATTCCTGTGCAATAAAGAGCAGGGGTCTTCATGCCTCCAGAAAGGAAAGGGGAGAAGGGAGCAGGGATCTCAAGCCACCCCATTACTCAGGTTACCTGATTTCAGAGGCAGCTTTTGCTGAACTACTGAAAAAAAGGAAGTGGCAGAATTCACAGCTTCCTCTGCAGAATTAAAAAGCCTCTTGATTTTATATTACTTACACAAGAGACCCAGCATGCTGCTAAACTTTACAGCTGCTCCCCTCCAAAACACAATTCTATTTTTATATATTTTTCAATCACTGCTGTTCCAAGTTGTAAAAAGCATTCAGTTGAGAGGCTTTTTGCACTGCATYGTGTAAAATTACGGTCTACGGCAGTAAAATAAACGTGCAAGGCCTCAGCAAAGACCATCCTTTTACAGAGCCTGTAAAGCAACTGCACTTAACATTTGGTGCCAGAATTGAAAGCAACAGTTACTCTAATGAGCAGCAAGGTGAACAACTTTGTGTTCCTCTATATATCCTCATGCASCAATACAGAGTAGTGCAACACATACCAGTTTTAGTGCAGCATCACTGGAAAATGTATAAAGTAATGTAAAAGATCATATCATTGCCCTGGGTCAAGACAGCCAATTTCTCCTGCTGTGGTGCTTTGTCTTCCTCTCAACTTGGGCCTTCTATGATCTAGAAAGTCATTTTCTTTCTTAAGATACTGCAATTTACTCTTCTAGCTGCAAGGTTTCTCATCTAGAGTGCCACAAGACTTCTTGTAACTAAATATGGTGATTAATTATAAGCCTGATTTATAACTAATTAAATAATATCAATTATTAATATAAATGTAATAATCATTAATAGTAAGCTAAGTAATTAAATTTGAGAGCACACACCAACTGCTCTCAGTGCTAGGAATGAGCTTGTCCATGCAGAAGTCGTGTTGGAAATGGGACTGCCACATAAAAAACGAGGGAGCTGCAGCAAACTAGCCACATTTCAGGGATCTGTAGAACCTATGTAATTGTGATTTCCACACTTGTTATTTATGCTTTGAACTACAGCCTTTATTCTGAGATCAAAACACATGCAGAATTGTCTTCAGCTTGTGTTTTTCTGCTTGTGGCCTCACAGCAAGGGTAACTGCAAAGAAAAATACTGCCGCAAGGAAACCTGCTGCCTTGCTCTGCCACTGGAGAGCAGACAAGGCTGGGTTTGCTGTTCAGGAGAACTGTTCTCCTCCAGGCTTCTTCCAAAGGCTCCAGCTCAACTACAGGGCTCCAGAGAACCATGTAGGCAGTTGTCCAGCAGCCACCAGGAGCGATCTGGTGCCTGCAGCAGAGCAGCAAGACAGAGCTGTGCAAGCTTTGCATGTCTGCAAGCCTGCACAGGTCACAGCTCTAAGTCAAACTGCTCCTTGCGTTCCTCCTGCTGTCACGCTTGCCTCCAGCTCCACCCAAGCATCCAAGCTGCAAGGGGAGGCGTGAAAAGAGCTGCTCAGCTGCCCGGCATTGCCCGCTAGGCTCGTGCGAGAGGCCGCCTGGGGCAGCCTGCGTCGCGCCCGCGCTGCTTCCAGTCATCATTATGTCATTCCTATGTGTTAATCTTCAAGTGAAATAGAGAACTCAAACATTAATATCCCTCCTGTACCCAGATGCATTTTAATATTTTAAGCTCTCACTTTTCACGCGGGAGCTCTGGAGGCACATTCATCATCCAGCTGTGCAACCACACTATAAACTGTCAATTCTTCATCACTGTCCTCTCTGACAAATTGCTCTTGCGACAGCGTTTCCAAGTTACCCTTAGCAGCCAACACACCTCATAAATCCTCATCATTGTAGCGTTATTAGAATTTCATTTCATGCTTGCATTCGCAAACATTTAAGCTTTCCAACCTCTGTTGCTGGGCATTAATCATGGCATTAATCATAGGATTAGGAACGTTGAATTTAAATTCAGGGTTAATAACATGCTCAACTAATATTAGCTTTACATTCTGTCATGGGAGAACATTAAAAGAAAAAAAAAGCACAAGACTTTTGTCTGCAGTTCCCAAATGGAACAAGAAATGGCACAAATTCAGCATTCCTGCTTAAAGAAACATTTCAAATCCCTAAACCCTTGAATAATCAACCATTGCACTTCTGTAAATTGAGGCAGCACTTACAGCGGAAAAGCAGCACTTCCTTTAATTAATGCATTAGATATTTTATCTGGTACAAGATATCCTGGCTTTGAGTTTAAAGAGATACTGATCTTCCAACTGTCGTGTGTAATGTATTATAACAGAAGGATAGATTCAAGAATTAAAATACATTCTACAGTTACAATATTTATGAAAATATTTTATACTATCTTATACAAAGAGAATGCAATTTAAAAGTTATTCCAATGAAGACAAGCGTATTTCATAGCATTTTAAAAACCAGCCTAGTAAGTCCCTGTACAACATTTTATTACTCACAAATAGGATAAAATAAAGTTTTTCCACACTATTTCCTGATAACTGTAAACTTAAAAATGCAAACCTAACACAGGACAGCTCAATTGTTAAAATACCAGTTTATTCARAGAGTTTTCTGTAAACTGTTATGTACACATGCCTATATGATACAACATCTGAAGTTACTAAGTAACAAAATTAGTCAACATAGAGCTTTTCAAAGGAATTTTCTCTGCTTCAGCAAGTTGATAAAAAGTTTGATCAAAAATCCTCCTAAAAGCCTTTAAGTTTTAGCTCAACAAAATACCTTAATACCTCAGCTGCTCAGAGCTCCAACTACAAAAGCACTCCAATTATTTTGTAGAAATACAAAGAAAGTTTAGAGCAAAATCTATCATTACACTTTAAAACTGGATTCCTTCCTCAGAGGTGAGGAGKCCTTTGCTAAAGCACAGAGTTAAACTGCCTGCTCTCAGTTTTGGACTAGGAGAATCTTATGCTACAGCTGATGCACCTAAGAGGTAGTTATCAGTATCTACAGCACCTACCTGCATTCAGAAATACTAGACACATTAGGAGCAAGATCTACTCACATTTCCCCCTCAGGATGAGCTGAAAGCTCAATTTTGCAAAAAACTAACAGCATCCAGCAACTTTTCAAAATTAATGATCAAATACAGGAGGCTGTCACAGAAAATCTGCATAAAAAAGCTAGGGAACTAAATGGTTGACAGAATACTTCACAACATACATAATTGCACTGATGCCAAAACATAACCTTTTAGCAGGAGCTTAGATGAACGTCAACTGATCATGAAAGCATATCACCAATGCCTATGACAAATAAGTGAGTAAATGGTACAGTCATTCCATATTTTTTTCTCTTTCTGCAGCTTTATAGCCCACAAATAAATCAACACTAAAACTACCAAAGTAATGAGTCAAATTTATGATTAAAAATCTATTTTTCTATTTCTTCAGCTATATTATGAATATGCATTTAACTATTACTAGCATTGAGTAAATTTTATTTCTTTACCACTGATTTACTTAAATAAGACTGTTAGTCTTATATACTAAATTAAGCACTCCAACTTCACCCCCAAAATCATGCAAAAATTACAACAATTAATATAATTTGGCAATTCTGCAACCTCTTTAGATCTCAAAGCTCTTAGTAAGCAGAAAGTGATTAGTTACCAATAGCGCTTCCAATATCGATTGCCATAAGTTACTACAGTTTTACTGATGACAAGTAAGAGGCCAAGTCACCAAGTATGTGTGAGCTGCTCTGAAATACACCAGAAGCCAGAAGGAAAGCTCAAAACAAACCATGACGGACAAAATCCATTCTTGGAAAACAAGCATTACTCAGAGCTGTACAGAGACGAGCAGGTTCTTGACTTTCTTACAAATCTGGGCTTTTGATTTGATAGATACTAATAACTTCAGTCAATCTAGCTGCAACTTCACTCAAAAAGGTGACTTTTACATGATCTATTTATTTATTTTGATAAGACACCCTTCAATTTATGAGCAATCTCCAAGTAGGAAACAGTCATATAGGGGAAAAAAGGAAAAAAAAAAAAAAAAAGATTTCTAATATTGTTTCACTAGTCAGGTTCTGTACACATCAATTCAGAATTGTAAGAAAATTATGATTTCTTCTGAGAAATGCTGGTGAGTAATTATTAATAAATACAGAGCACTATGATATTCCCATTATGCAGATGAAAAGATTACTGACCTCACTGAGGTAAATAAAAAAGGAGCACGTGGACCCATCTACGCCGTAACTTGCATAACAGGGATCTGATCGCCACATATCTTTCATCCACTGAAAGGAAACAAGAACACAGGTTGTTAGGCTTAAGTACTAAAATATTGTTTCACATTGAACTCAGGAATAACAGATAAAAGCTGAAAATTACTGCAACCAAAAAAAAAAAAAACCCAAAAGATGACCACTCAAGTGAGGCATGACGGAACCAACATGAAGTCAATTTATCAAAATGACTGAAAAACAGACAGGAGGTTTAACACTTGCATGTTTTTAAATACTTATTTCCAAACTTTTTAAAGGGGAAAAAAAAGTCACATATATCTTAGCAGTTCAGCTGTGTTTCAGTTTTCCAAAAATAATCCTAGGATTCTATAATCATATTTAAGTATCTAGCAACTTAAATTGTCCCCAGCTACTGAGGCAGTCTAATTAGAATTTAAATTATAGACCTTGAAAAAGATAGCTCTCCATCTCTGCAACCTCATGTTTTTCCTTTCCAAATCAAAATTTGATGGCTTATGTTCAGCATTCCCAACTACATTATTAATAAATTATAMATAATAATTAATAAAATATAAAATTTATGCAGAATCAACTGCATCTGAAGCTTTGATTGCACACCTATTCACAGGGTTAGTGAATTTTATGCTTTCACAAAATACGTCACTCTGAGCAAGACAGGTTTCTTCCTCTAATGCAACACTTGCTCAATTTTTCACAGAATACATATAATCAGATTAAGAACAGGCTATGCTTACCTTTATTTTCCCTTCACAGTGAGGAAAACCATCCATAGGAGGCAATTCACACTGTTCTTGGGCTCCATTTATGAGATCTAAAGGAAAAGAGACCATAACTGAGTCTTGTCCTACAGCTCTGACAAATAGCCCAGCAGATCCTGCCATTTATTTTTGTGAATCCCCATGCATATTCCATAGACTCCTACTGTGTAACATTCACTACAACATTTAAGACTGTGCTTTTTACTTGACTATATAAGAAAAAGGTTATRCAGCTTTCAACTCCAACTTGCAGTAGAAGTGTTGAATTATAAATTGTGCCTTATGCAGATTGAAATAAAAGTTAAGCTAACCCAGAACGAATATAAGGCAAAACACTTAGATAAGTGCGCTTAAAACTACTAAAGAGAGACAACTAGTTTCTAATTGGCAAACGTTTGTAAGGCGTAAGCTGCTCTTAAATATGAGCACAAGATTTTACAAGTATTATCATTTTATCCAAAGCACATGACTAGCGACTTGGCACCAGATACGTGACCTAATTAACCTGATCCAAATTTAAAACCGAATAACACTACATAACCTCCCGTGAGAAAAATTTCTCATGATCTCAAGAATTTTTATAGTGATTCATGTTACTTCTACATATTTTGTTAAGATTTTATCATGTCAAGTTTCAAAAGCATGTTATAGAGTACAGAATGGAGCAAGACTCCTTGCAGCCTATATGAGCCAAGCAAAAGGGCTAGGAGCAGTTTCAGAGGACATTACCACACCAGTTCCAGGTGGGATTTCTCCTGAGAAAGCTCTAACATCAAACTTTAGGCAGGAAAAGTGACTGACATGGTGGAGAGGTTATTGCCACAAGCAGCAGAGGTTTTTAATTTAGGCAGTCTGTCCCAGAGTTATCTAAATTATACGTAAGCTATTCCACCTTTTCCCACGGGCAAAACTCATGATTATTAAAGCCAACCATGCATCAAGAGGCATGTTATGCTATAGGATTTTTGCAGTTAGTGTACAGAACTTTACCCAGGATTTTGGATCTCGTTTTTTAAAAAAAGCAGTAGAACAGAGTAGGGATAAAAGATCAGTGGTCTGGAGTTAGAACATGYTGTTATACACAAAACATTCTTCTCAATTTAGCTGAATATTTTTCTTTTCTTTCACAAAAAAAAAGCTTATTTTGAAAGATAAAACTTGAAAYGTGAGACACTGCAAAACAGAGCTGATGGGAAAGTAATATGCCAGGAAGACGACACTGATTTGGCAGTCACTGCATCGGCAGCAATTTGACAAACTGAGCTTTACTGCCAAGGACAATAATGCTGAAGCAAAGTAGTCTTTAAGATGACTTTGGAATCAGTAGGTACTTTCAAAATATTCTCTCTTCCTTCTCTTTTTCTATCTTCTCATCATTTTTTCTCCCATGACAAATTTTCTCTCAGTGACTAAAATACCAAGTGATGAACCTGAATGGAAAGCCAGTACAGAGCTTTCCATAAAAAAATGTCAAACTAGGATCCTCCTAAAATACAAAAGATATCCTAAAGTTATTAGACCACTATCAGAAATTCAGGAGGAGACATGTTTCCTTATAATTCAAAAATGGGTTCAACGATGCAACTAAACCTTATAAATGATAAATCCCATGTGTTAAACAAAAAAATAAAAATCTTATGTTGAAAACTTACAACTTCTAGATAAAATGGCATCTCAAAAAGAAAGATAGGTCAGGTTTTGACACCCTGCTGAAAACAGAGTTGAAAACATTGAGTATTTGGGCAATTATGTTCAATACAAAAGTCGTCTTATCAAATTCAGCTGCATTTGGACAAGTCATATACATCTTACTCAAAGTTTCCTTTTTTGTAGCTGCAAAATCTATAGATGAACTCCAACAAATAATTTTCAGAAAGATAAAGGACTATTAGATAGTAAAGTCATGGAGAGAAGGGATTATTAATRGTATTCAGGATGAATTTTAAATATCTTTTCCTCTGCAACTGTGTTTTTATAAGAAATATCCTTCCAAAGTCATTATCACCTCATGGTACTGGCACTACCCTTCACTTGATCCTTGCTGCTTAGATCAAGGYTATGATATAACTTGAAAAGGCCTTGCCCCAAAGCAACAGTTCAAACCAGAACCAATCTGCAGGCTGSCAGGAGCGAGGAAGCAAAGCAGCAACAGGAATAGCAGTTGCCCCAGTGGCTACAGCAGCCGGAGGGGCCCTGGCACAGCCTACCATGAGCACGAAGAAAATATAACTCTCAACAACAGCCTTTCCTCTGTTTGCTCCAGGCTAAACAATCCTCCCCTGCAAGACACTCATTCCTCCTCAGACTTGCTGCTCACTCCTTCAGCTCCTCATCTGTCAAAACCAGCAGAGCACTCAAGAGCTGCTGTTCTTCCCATCCTACTGCCTGGGAGGTACAGTCAACCCCCCATCACCAACTGCAGAGACAACACAAGTGATCCAGGGATTTCATTGCTAAGGAAAAACCAGTCTGTCTCACAGCGCTATATGCTACGGAACAACAGTGTTTCACTTCAGAGGGCTAGTCAAGGAAAACCTCTCTTCTTGTGAAACGCCCTGAAGCACAGGGGAGCACATTAACACAAACTATAATGCTTCATTTTACAGCATAAGCTTTCAGTGTGCCAGGTTGATCACTTGCATCTTACTGCATTTAAATGGGTATGTTGAAGTGCCAAAGAATGGAAAGAAAGGAAGGGAACACGAGATACAGAGAACAGACTCATTTTTGGTACATACACAGCTGTAGTCTAGATACTTGTTGGCTTTTGTCACATGTAAACATTTTCTGTACACAGTGTGTCCTCACAGACAGCTGTGATCCGAGCAGAGATGACAGGAAGGTTACTTAGGAAGAGGCTAGAGCACACACACCTCACTTGCAAACCCTGCTACTGTGCTGGCCAAAAGGTGCTCCAGAGTTCCCATAAAATCCTGCTTGCAAGAATTAGAGCTACCTTTGCCCACCTGCAGCATATTTTGTAGCCACCACATACTTCAACATCTCTGATCAGCTCTGGCAATGAGACACCTTTAGAGCAGGGCTCCCAGCTCCAGGAGGGGCCGGGATGCGGATAGGGCGGCGCGCGCCGCATTCCCAGGCTCCCGCTCTCCTCTAGGGCGTCCCGGAGCTTTCCAGAGCAGCCCCCATTCCTGCTCTTCTACCGCAACCACTCACATCCCTGCACRATGGCATCCCCGGCATAATCTACACGCCCAGGAATAGCGTGGCCATCTAACACCTCTAACTATATGGAAACACCTGAAGTATTTACATCTCTGCTAGAATTTCCAAGTGGAGAATACTTACAAAACTAACAAATTCCAAAATTTTAAAAATCTTAAAATACAATGCTTCAGTTGTGAGGTGCTGGAASATTCAATATAAAAATAACTAAAATTAAATCCTGGTATTCAGAAAGCATTCATGCTTTGCAAGCCGTTGTAGCTATTTCAAGATGCTATAGCTCTGCATCAGAGATCCTAAGAGCACAACAGAGCAGGTGAAATTGAGGTTGTGAACAACCAGCAGCTATTTCAGAGTAAAGTCTGGCACATCGGCCCCAACAGCTTGGCCCGCAGGTTTCAGCCGAGCGCCTGACCTTGCAGGAACAGACACACACGCTGTGCTGCGGAGAAGAGCAAACAGATGAAGTCACATGCTCTGCTCTGACAGCGCTCCTCAAACACCAGCTCGGAGACAGCTCCTGCAGCCAGGCTGGGTGTCAGGTTTTTCACGTTTGTTTGTTTTAGTCTAGCTCTACAAACCCCAGGAGGGAACGAYGTAAAGCATAACCTGCGATAGGGGTTTTTCTTTTATTGCTTGCTTCCAAATTATTCATTAACAAAAGCGTTAAGTTAAATAYTGGTAAGTGCTATATGCATATTTTGCCCTTTGCTTTATGCACGTCCTTCAAATGTGCTTCGTGACAGGCTCCGACCTTCTCCTTCAATTCCTCCCCATTAGGCAGTGACGAAGTCTAGAACTAATCCACCRCAACGGAGAGTAAGCTGAATAAGTTATAACTCAGACAAGAGATGCTGTTGTGTATCAGTCCAACACTGTTCATTGTTCAGTAGATATCCTATTTGTCACAAAATTTTATAAAAAGCAAGACTGGTTAAAGCCATGACACTGTGAAAATTGCCCATATTAGCAGCCTATCTTAGTTGGTCTGCTAAGGACCAACTCTTTATTTCTTCACAAAATGTAAACATCTTGCAGAGTTTAACACTGCCTAAAAGGTTATGCAATCTTGAACCTTGAGGCTAGGAAGAACAGATTTTTAGATGAGGGCAAAAAAATATATTAAGATACCTGGCAGTGATGTACAGGACAGGCAACAGCCCGGTTCAAAGTGTTTCCTATAGACAAGTCTTGTAACAGCAGGAACCTCCTTAATGTTAGTAACCATATCGGACTGATCCATTTAACAGTTTTCTCTCCGTCTGTTTTCTTACTGGTTAGAACTGCTAAATAAAAGCCCCATTCCTGCTTTAACCTCTGCAACCTTTTATTCCTTGTCGTTCCCATTTCAGTTCTGAAATCAGGTAGCTAAGGTTAGACCCAATATTCTACTTAAGGCAGTTTTAGTTTCTGTAAGGGCGCCTTTTTCTTTCCTTGCTTATTAGCAAGGAAACATTTACAGTTCAAATTTTTCCTCTCCAGCAGGTAATTCCTTTAAAGAGAGAATMTGCAATGTGAGCTGAAAGCACTATCAATATATTTAAAGAAAGGAGACAAAGGTTAAAAGATTTTTAAATGCAGAGGACAAAATATTTCCTACTAATGTTTTAGAAACTTCATTAGCAAAGCATTAATATGATATAGGGAAAATGAACTTTGCTGCTGCTGGCCCATCTTCTCCCTAGCTGTGCTGCTGTGTTGCATTAGCACTGCTGAAATCAGTGCAATGTTAGGAGAATTCAAGTAGTAGAGAAGTGGTTAATCAAAACGCAGCCCAGGGGAGCACTTTGGGCCCCTTCAGCATTCCTGACACAAGTCAGCACTGCAGTGGAAAAYACAGAGTCCTCTGCACTGTCATTATGCTGCG